CTCCGCGCCCCGCAACCCCTCCCGCAGGGCCTGCGCTCTGGGCGCCCTGCAGGGCTGCAGGCGGCCTTGCGGTTCTCAGGAGCAGGTGATGCGAGATTCACAGTCACTGATGCACTTCCCAGCTGTGAACAGTGGGATTAATTGTGGATTCTGAAACACACTCTCTTGTATTATTTTTTTTTAAATTTGCTTTTATTGATCTGAGAGAGAGAGGAAGAAAGAGGGAGAAGGAGGGAGAGAAACACGAACGTGGGGAACATGGATCAGGGTTGCCTCCCACATGCCCCAGACCCGGGGCGGAACCGAAACCGGCCACACGTGCCCTGCCCGGGAATCGAACCAGCGCCCCCTGGGTGGATGGGATGCCTCCCAACCCGCGGAGCCCCGCCGGCCAGGGCTTCCCGGCATCATTTCTACGTCTAAGGTGCGTGAGGTTCACTCGCCGCGTATCTAGGGCGCAGACTCACGTTTACAGGTAAATAGTGACGTAATGAAACGAGCGCGAAAGGTGCCTGTCAGCATCTTACACGGGGAAGGAGCCTTGGTAATGCCCAAGGTAACTGACTGCTCAGAGCCCAGGACTCCGGGAAAGACTGAGGAGGCGGCTGGAGGGTCTGGCCGAAAGTCAAGGGCACAAGATATCCAAGTGGTGAGACCTGGAGACGCTGAACAAAACGCAGAGAGAAAGAGCCGCATAAAGAGGCGGGAAAAGAGACGAGGGCCCGGAGGGAGAGGGGGAGGGGAGGCGAAAGATGGTGCAGGGGACAGAGAAAGAGGCAAAGGCAGAGACCGGGACCGAGGCCGGGGGGGAGAGGAGGCTGCACCTGAGAAAAAGAAACCTCAAACCTCTGATCCTGAAAACACCCAAACCTGGGAAATGAGAACATGGCACTAGAGGGACAATAAGGCCCGAAATGCACTGCTCTGAGCCCCACTGTCCCCACCCGTTGGCTGTATGGCTTTTGGCAAGTCCCTCAGCACATCTGTGCCTCAATTCCCTCATCTGTGAAACCCAGGAGTCCTATTTGGGGTCAGCAGCACCACTGGATGAATCTCTGTGGCACCCCCTGAAAGGCACCGAGGGAGGGCTTATGGGCATTGAACGAATTTTTTCAGAATGACAGAATAGAGTTTCAACATCAAGAAAAAGCAGATCGCCCTGGCCTGTGTGCTCAGTGGTTAGAGTGTCGGCCTGGGCACTGAAGGGTCCCGGGTTGGACTCCCAGTCAAGGGCACACACCTGGGTTGCAGGTTCGATCCCTGGCCTGGTCAGGGTACGTGCGGGAGGCAAGCAATCCATGTGTCTCTCTCACATCGATGTCTCTCTCTCTCCCTCCCTCCCTCCCACTCTCTCTAAAAATCAATGGAAAAAATATCCTCGAGTGAGGATTAACACACACGCACGCACACACACCAAGAAAAAAGAAAAGAAAAAGCAGATGACATTTTTCCGAGAGCTAGTTTCTCCCCCGTTCATTAATATTCTTGCCGATGACTCCAGCCCCCGCAAAGGCCCATCAATATACCCATGATTGAATTTTATGGGCCTCATGAATATGTACGAGCTCATGTTGGGGCATCGTGAACCATGGGGCCACCCCATCCAAACTGGCCCCATCGATCGTAACCAGTCACTGAAAAGCCTCCTTGGGGGAGCTGCAATCTCGTCCTGCAGACAGGTTGGGGCCAAAGCAGTCGGGCGAATCCCCAGGCAACCCCGAGGTTGTGGGAGCAGAACCCAAAGGCGGGCTCGCGGAGACAGCTAGGCCCGGGAAGGGCTGCAAAGGTACAGCTCGACCTAGAGACCCAGGGGTGTGAGCCGCAAGGCCTGGGGCCCCCGCACGAGGAAGGAGGGACTAGAGCGGCCTGTCCACCGGAGGAAACAACACAGGGCCGTCTAGACCACTGTAAATCTTTTTGTAGCCACATCTTTTTAAAAAAGTAATAAGAAGCAGGCGCCATGTATTTTAATAATATCTTTTGTTGAATCGTGCTATCCCAAACCTTATCATTTCAACCTGGAATCGACACAAAATTTATTGAGATATTTACATTCTTTTTTCATACTTTATCTCAGAGTCCAGTACGTGTTTTATGCCTATTTTACACAAATGACAAGGAGAGCTCACCACATTTTAGGGTCTCAAGACACAAGGACACGCGGGTCCTGAACTCCAGGAGGGGAGGGCCGGAGAAGGCGGGGAGGTGGCCTGGGGGCAGGTGGATTCCTTTCTCCGTTAAGAAACTTGAAGGAGCGGGGTCCGCCTGTGTCCTAAGTTTGGGGAAAAGAGATGGAAGAAAAGGGAACTAGTCTGGACAGATTGCCCATCAAGGTCTCAGTGGTGGACTTGTGTCTTCGTGGCTCCACCCTGCCTCTAAGGCAGCGATGCCCCAGCTTTCTCATCTCATGGCCCGTAAACCCATTGCTAAATTTCTGCTGCACACCAAAAACATATTTTTGGCCAATCTGACCCAAAAAATAGGTGTGATTTTGATTCACTCACACGGGACAGCTATCGTGTTGGCTGTTGTCTTTTTTATTTCATTTGACAAGCTAAGGGACAAGCGGTCAGTGCCCCACGTTTTAAAAAGTCTCGCTGCTCACGGGTGGAACGTCGCGGCTCGGAGGTAAGGCTCGCCCCTGCTGTGTGACGAAGGAGGACGCTGAGGCGCAGAGCTCTCCCAAGGCCCTGTCACAGCGTCCTCTAAAGGCAGCCTAAGCACACGCCGGGAGTGGTGTGTGCACGCGTGTACCTGTGTGCATGCGTGTGCGTGTGTGCCTGTGTGTGAGGAGCTCTCACACTGAGGTTTTGTTTCAGACATGGAGCCACTCGCTGCTGGGACACGCTCTCCAGCGACCTTAGGCCCATGAGCTCCTGTGACTCAGCAGCTCCCGTAGCTGGGTTCTTGTCGCCACTTAAGAGTTGAGAACGTTGCAGCCCGGAGGTCAGAGAGCTGAACGGACCTTCCCAAGGGCGCCCAGTAGCTCGAGATTAATGAGCTCAGTGAGGTGCAGCCTAGAAGTTCTTGGCCAGACGGGATGGAAGCGTGACGCAGTAGGAGGTCAAGGGCATAGAGCAAGTGGCAAAGCGTGACTCTCCCCTGGCCCATCAGTGCCCTTAACACCTGACTTGTGCGCCCTCACCATTTGCGGAGGACTTTTTGGCATCTACTGCACTTAGATTAAGATCTTGAGGTGGGTTTCATTTTCCCGCATTTGATGACTGGGGAACCGTATCATGTCTGACTGAGGTTTGACTCCAAAGGCACAGCGCCCCTCTTTCTGAGCCACCAACAACAGGGTGACAGTGGCAGGGTGCCAGCCCCAGCTCCCCCAGGGCCTGGGACAAAGGGTCCTCCAAGCACTTGAATGTCCTCCGCCCTAAGGGGAATGTTCCAGACGTGGGCAACTGGCTATTGAGGCTCACTTTACGGTTCAATCACTGTCTTGGACTGCCTCCAGATTATCTTCTATTCATATCCATGCCTTGATCCAAGTGGACTCATTAACATTCTAGAATGTCGGTCCACAGCAACTCCTCGCATTGGCGCAAAATCCTTTATGGCACAAAGAAGAAAGCCATGCAGATGTCTGAGTGGGAGGGGGAGCATCCCAGGCAGAGAGAAGAGCAGGTGCAAAGGCCCTGAGGTTAAGCCAGCTCGGTTTGTACAAGAAACAGTGAAAAGGTTAGTGAAGCTGGGGCGGATCAAGGGAGGGAAAGTGAGAATGGATGGGCTGGGAGGGGAAGGCCATGGTGTGGACGGTAGATTTTATTTATAAGCTTGATGGAAAATTTGAACGAATGAATGCCACCTCTCCCCACTTTATCCCTCCAATGGGTTCCAGTTGCACTTAGGATAAAAAGAAGGCTCTGCAGGGCCCGGCCCCGTCCACCTCACCAGGCACCTCTCTGGCCTCCCTCCTTCTTGCTCATGGCCCCAGACATGCCGACTCGACTTGTTCCTTGAATACAATTAGCTCTTTTCCATGTTGACTCTGCCTAGATGAGTCTCTCTCCCTCTCCTGGGTTGTTTCTGCTGAGAATGGCATATTTAACTGGCATTGAGGAAGAGGTAAATAGAGCTCACAGAAACCGTGGTTGATGAAAGTAGTAAATGCTGATCCAAAAGGTCCTTTAATATCCAGCCAAGGAGATGAGTGATCTGTGGGGATGGTTTAAGGCTATAATTAAGGTTCCCATGGTGAGGAGAGCCCTCAGAGCCATTTATGTGGGTTAGAATCCTGCCATCTTCTCACTGTGTAACCAACGCAGGCAGATTACTTGGCTTCTCTGAGCCTCAGTTTTCTCACTTGTAAAATGGAGGTGAAAAACATCTATCATTTGATTTGTGAGAACCAAGTGGCATACAGTGTGTTGAGCGTCTAGCCTGGAATATAGTAGGTTCTCCACAAAAGCTACATCTCTTCTTTCTATCACACCTCCCCTCCATAATGACAGTACATATATATTTTCTCTTCTGTAAGAATGTTAACCTTTATTACTCTCTGGGGATGGAAAGAGAAAAGGCATGCATGACATCCAACTTGGGAATTAGTGGAAGAGGGAAGGGACCCATGGGAGCACAATTTTTTGTCTTCAACCCAGAAAGAAGAGGCCGGCCAAGATGAACCGATGGTCCACTTGTCTGTTGGGATGGACGGCCTTCCTCCTCTACACCTATGAGATAAGTGGAGGTGAGCATACCGGGAAAAGATGGGGAGGATTTGGAAACCAGAAAGAGTGAATGGGCCAAAGTCACGATTCCTGGGTCCAAGATGGCTTAGTGGGAATCTCAGATAGACCTGGGGTTTGGACCCTCTCTCTCTGTGTGACCTTGGTCAAGCAGTGCGACCTCCCTGAGGTCAGTTCTCAACCTGTGAGAGAGGAACCATGGCATTTACCTCAGGGGGCTCTTTTGAAAGCTAAATAGGATCATGGACACAAGCACCTTTCATGATGCTCAGCATGCGGTGGGGGAAATGCAAATACTATGTTTATTAAAAAGGGGGGCTCTATCATTTCAGCGGGCTGAATCCTCACGCGAGTTATGGCGAAACATTCTCTATGGTTAGGATCCTTTTCTGCCTGACAAGGCTCAAGAAACACTCTCATACTCATGCACTTTGATTCCACAAAGTCCTTTTTCAATGATCATATTCTATATTCCAGAGATTCCTCACTTGGGGTAACTGGGCAAGCAGTAGAGCCCAGGAAACCCTGGATTTGTATCGAAAAGGTGTGTATTTATCAGGGTAGTGAGAACAGTTATTGTAACGAACTGCAGCGTATCAGAAGCTTAAAGCAATAACATTTTATTTCTTGCTTCTATAAAATCCAATGAGGGCGCATCTAGTCAGCGGGGATACAAGCTTCTTCCATCTTGGGGTTTCGCCATCCCCCCAGGGCTTCAGAATGCTCTGTGGATTCTTTGCTTCAAGCTGATAGACAAAGACCAAGAGTCTGGAGGATTTCGGAGGAGAGTGGGTTTTTTGGGCCAGGCCAGGAAGTGACATCCACCGCTTCCTCCTATTTCCAGCCACCGGAACTCACTAGATACCTAACTGCAAGGGAGCCTGGGAAATGCAGTTCAGCAGTGCACGTGGGAGGGAAAGGAAGCTGGTTTTGGTGAATGCACAGTGGCCTCCACCAGAAGGGCATACAAACCTTTTCCTAGAGAGAAGGTCTGGGTTCTCAAAGCAACCCGGCAAGTCCCGAAAAGGTTAAGAGCCCACAGTTTATTCACACAGTTAACAATGTGCTTGATTGAGCGTCAGCTTTTCCACTTATGATGTCATCCTGGCCATGCCTTCCTGAGACCACACTGACATCCCTGTGCTGAAACTCGGTACCGGAAAGTCCCCCTCTGCACATATTTATAAACTCATTCATTCCATACATGTTTGTTGGGTGATTCCTAAGTGCCAGTCACAGTACTACGGGCCAGAAGCGTAGCAATAAATAAAACCCAGGCCTTGCGCTCAGAGAGCTCACAGTCAATGGGAGTGACAGATATAAAAACAGATAATTATATTTTTTTAAAAATTGGTGAGTACAGCCCTGGCCGGTGTGCTCAGTGGTTAGAGTGTTGGCCCCGGCACCGAAGGGTCACGAGTTCGATTCCCAGTCAAGGGCACATACCTGGGTTGCAGGCTCAACCCCGGCCCCCAGTTGAGGGCAACCAATCAATGCGTCTCTTTCACAAGGATATTTTTCTCTCTCTCCCCTCCCCCACCCTCCCTCCCTTCCACTCTCTCTAAAACTCAATGGAACAATATCTTTGGGTTAGGATTAACAACAACAACAACAACAACAACAACAACAACAACAGCAGCAGCAGCAGCAAAAGGTGAGTGCATTTGCAGAGATCAGCTCAGAGTACTACAAGAGTGAGGAAGAGTATTGATCTAGACTAGACCAAGTCTTCATGGGGGAGGAGTGGGGAGAAAAGCCAGGAAGAGGGGAAAGGCACTCAGGGCAGGATGGAGGCCATGAGCAAACCCCAAAGGCCAGAAAAAGCGTGGAGTAAGGTCAGGGACATGTTAGCCAGAGAGGAAGAACAGAGAGGTCAGCGGGGCCTGGATTATGGAGGATTTCAACTCAGTTAAGAAGATTAGACCATCTGCTGGATTACTTTGCACATGGCTAATAGTGTCTATTATGTGTTGACTCTTACCAACAACCCTGAGGATAACCTTAATTCTGCATACAGGGGGCATCTGCCTGCCTCCCCTTCATCACCAGCATCCCCTAGACTCAGTGATGTCCATCACTGAGGAAAGTCATCGATGGTGATGACGATGATGACAATGATAGCTGACATTTGTTGAGGTACTCTGCTAAGCACTTTCCAAATCTTAACTGGTTTAAAGTTGGCAAAACCAAGACCAAACAGTTCCGAGACCCAGAAGAGACCCAGAGGTGGAAAATGCAATATTACTCAAGGACCCCTAATTGTATTAACCCATTGGTGAGGTTCAAAGACGGAGTTCTGCCTTTTCCACTCGCTCCCCAAACACCCCTTGTCCCTGTCATGGTACTTTACCAGATTACCCAGGGTAAGGATCTGACCCAGAACAAGAGGGGCCTAGGCAGGTTCAAGGCGAGGCTGTGTCTTGTCCACCCATATTAGTAGCAGACCAACTATGTAACAAACAACTCCCAGATGTCAGTGGCTGAACTGAACAGAGGTTCAAGTCTAACTCATCTAACGCTTCAGTGTGGACGTTTGGTGGGGCCTCTTTCGTTGTGATTCAGAGAAACAAGATCCTTCTGCTTCATGGCTTCACGGACCTGGGGCCTCAACATTCTCTGCAGGTCATTCATGAGACTCTTCCCTGGTACTCTTGGTCCAAACATCAACTGGACACGCCCTTGTGCATCCTGAGGAAGCTGGGTGGGAGGTCTACACGTGCAGCCTTCAGACACTGCAGGAGCCAAGCCTAGGATCCTCTCTGGTCCGGCATTGTGCCCAGTCCACTCCTGTTTTGTCCTTCTGTCCTTCAGATGGCAAGAGCATGTGTGTCTTTCCCTTCATCTACAAGAAGTCTGCTTACTTCTCTTGCATCAGAAGAAGCAACTTATGGCCTTGGTGTGCAACCAGAGCAGTGTACAATGGCCAGTGGAAGCTGTGCTTTATAGAAGGTGAGCGCAGCCATATGGTCCCCTCAGCGGGTTTCTGAAAGTGGTGGATTACCAATGAGACCGTGTGAGTGTGGAGAACAGGGTCATGTTTTTGCAGACACGTTATAATATGCACGTGTGTGCGGAAAATACTCTGGGAAGCCAAGCACTGAATGGTAATGCTGGATATTGATGTTCACCATGATCGTGTTTAAAACGGTGCTCTCTGAATGGAATGATTGTAAGACCAGGAGACCAGAGAAAACAGTTGTATTCTCTGTCTCTTTCTTAATTTTCTAAATTAACAAGGAAAAAACCCCCTAAACTATCCAAGAAAAGGGAATTGAGGGATTCTGTTTACTATTTTCCTCAAATATATAAAGAACTCATACAACTCAATAGGAGGAAAAAGAAAGACAACCCCTCACCTTGATTTGCAAAGATTTATATAACCTTGCCCTTCTCTGTCCTCACCTTCTCCCCCTCCCATCCTTGCCTGCTGAGCTCCAGCTCCAGTGGTTGTCACACTTCTCAAATATTCTGAACTCCTTCTAGTCTTTAAACTCTTCACACTCTTATTCCCTCTACATGGAACTCACTCCCCCCAGATGTTTGCATGACTGACTCTCTTCTCAAATGTCACCTGCTCAAGGAAGCTTCCCTCACCCCTTCATCTAAGACAGCCCCTCCTTCACTCCCAAGTGACCAAGATTCCCTCATTGTGTGTGAGTAAATCCACCCATCAAAAACATAATGTCAGAAACTCTATTTTTTGTGCTACATTTGTGGTGGGAAATTCAGTCTATTTTACAGAAGTTGCTATAAGGCACCAGCACTCACGTGATAACTTTACTATATTTTACTTCACTGGCATTTAACATTTTTTTGTAATCTCAACAGTTTTTGTATATCAACATCTTGACTTCATCTGTTGGTCATAAACCATTAAAAGCCTTTGTTTTGACTTTATTCCTACAGATCTTTTGGTAATTATAACAGATTAGTTTTTTAAGACACTAAGTTCTGTTAACAGGTGGGGGCACCATGGATTGAGATCGGGAAGATCGGGAACTCTATTGGAGCAGATTTGAAAGCACATGGAGTGGGCTTTCTTTACTAAAGCTTGATGAAATGAGTGTATAAACCCAACGTTTGTCCAGTGCTTTGGTGGTTGATTGATTGATTAATGATTCTTGACTGTCCTGTGGATGACTAGAGAGTCAAGCCACTCATGGACTGCTTTCCATACAGATTACCCACGATGCATCTTCCCCTTCATCTATCAAGGAAAGTCCTACAGGAGCTGCATCAAGGAAGGCAGCTTATTTGGAAAGCTGTGGTGCTCAGTCACCTCCAACTTTGATGAGAAGCAGCAGTGGAAATACTGTGAAGTCAACGGTAAGGCATTGGAGCAAGAATGGACTGTGTGGTGGAGAGGATGGTGGAAAGCAATGATCCTCATGAGGGGATGGTGGCAAGGTGGAGAGCAGAGCACTAGGAGAAATACTTCTAGGGGCAAAGGGTCTTCTCAGAGAGTACACTATGACAACCACAAGGGACATAAGTTATCTTGAAGCCATGTTCTCCTGAGTCCCCAAAGCCAGCAGGAAAAACCAGTTATCCCAAGAACCGAAACCATGAGCAGTGGTCCTGATACTGGTTTTTAAGTATTTCTGTTTCTAGAAATGACAATAACCATAGTCACCTGGTGCCAAACCCTACTTGCATTTCAATGCAGTTTAACATTTAATTTTAATTCTGCACCTCCTCTTCATTTAACAATGTCCTCCATTCATTATAGTACCCTCTCTGTATTAGACTGTGATCCAGGAGCCCTATACACAACATCCCATTGAATCTTTCCATGAAAGCTCTTATGAGATGTTATGTTCCCCCTATTTAAAAAATAGTCCCAGTAAAATAAAGTCCTGACCAAAGTTACACTCCTAGGTAATGTCCGAGTTAGAATTTGAATTCAAGTTCATAAGGATCCTCATGTTTTCTCAGTAAGCATGGTCCCTCCATAGGGAAATGAAAATGCATGTGAGGTGCTATCCATGAGCACACTTATTCCTGTATAAAATCCTAATTATGTTCTTTCCTTAGCACTCAAAAAATCCTAATGCCATATAAAACCTAATTTTGTCCAAGCCTAGTCATCCATAACTCTAAATCAACCCTATCCTTAAATCTCACCATAACTCTGTCCTATCTCTTAACCTAATTTTTCATCCAAGTCTAACTCTGTCTCCATTTCCATTCTTGACTCTAAATTCTATCCACACACCATAACTTTAGGCATTTTGAAATCCTAAACTAAATAAATGAATTAAGATACCAATTTTATGACAATATTTTAACACTGTGTATAGTTTTAAACCCACTTCAAATTTTATTGTAACTTAACTCTAACTTAAGTATCTAAACTTCTGTTTATCTTTCATGTGATCCAAGCTCCTTAGACCCAAATCTGATGGGGTGATATAACCAAAACCCAGCTTCGGCTGCCTGCCACAATGAAAGCCAAACTCATGAGACAGGAGCTGGTGCGAAGGAAAGTGGTTTATTCAAGTGCCGGCTACCTGAGAAGATGGGGGGGGGGGCAAAGGTTTTTATAAGGAGAGAGGGAAAACAGAACAATGCAGGCAAAGGTTTTTATAAGGAGAGGGAAAACAGAACAATGAGATCAAGGGAAGGGGAGTTCTCCATTGAGGAGACTACGTGCAGACCAGCACAGTCTATTCTGATAAGGACCTTGAAACTGGTCAAGTAATGGTCTGGTGTGCATCCTGCTGGTTCTCATCATCCTGGTTTTATAATTGAAGTTCAGCAAATTTCCCAGAGCTGGGATGACTGAAGGTGAGAGTCTGTATATTTTGAAGTTAGTTCCTAGAATTCTTTCTTTTTAAAAAATATATATCTTTATTGATTTCAGAGAGAGGAAGGGAGGGGGGAGAGAGAGATAGAAACATCAATGATGAGAGAGTCATTGACCAGCTGTCTCCTGCATGCCCCCCACCGAGGATCAAGCCCACAACCTGGGCATGTTCCCTGACCAGGAATTGAACCTCGATCTCCTGGATCATAGGTTGGTGCTCAATCATTGAGCCATTCCAGCTGGAAAGTTCCTAGAATTCTTATACAAACATGCTGTTTATCTACAAGCTAAATATTAGTCAGAGTCAGCATTTACAGAAACAGCATCAAAGGAATGGTGGGGTGGGTTATGGTGAGAAATTAGAATTTGCTTAAATAACCAAACAGATACCCAAGAATAGGCCCTGGAAGAAAAGAAACTCTTTAGCTCTGGCTTCCTCCACTACATTGGGAAAGTTATTAAATCTCTTGTTCAGTTTGTTACCTGCAAAATGAGGGCATTGAGGCTGACTTCAAAGGTTTTTATAAAGACTAGAATTCATTTTTAATAAAAGATCTGTCACAGTGTTTCAAACATACCACATGACTAAGAAATATAAGTTTTCCACCTTGCCTATCATCTGAGCCAGTAGTCAAAAAATGAGCTTAGAGGTTAGACCTGAGTGAGACTCCTGCTGTTGCCACTTACCACCTGTGTGATCTTGGGCACATTAGATAATAAAAATAATAATGGCCATAATATAGTGAACTTTTAGTAAGCATTTGCTGTGTGCCAGGCATTGTTCTAAGCGCTTCACATGCAATAACCCATTTATCTGCCACAACCCCTATAAGGTAAAAAAAAAAAAAAAGAATTGACCAGTAGCCCCATTTTACAGATGTGGAAACTGAGGCTCAAAGATGTTCAGTTGTTAAATGGCAGAACTGTGATTTGACCCCAGGAAGTCTAAGCTTCAGAAATTGTGCTTTTAATCACTAGTTAGTACTACCTCTAAACCTCAGTCCCCTTAGTTTAATTCTGGCTTCCCTTAGAGCCCCACCAAAGCAGCCTGTTAATTAGGCAATGCTGAGCTTGTTGCATACCAAAGTAAGGGTGATTACTACCTAAACAGTGTCTTAATAGCATCTTGGAAGGAGGAGGGCAATGTCAGAGTGTTAATGAGGTTTTGGGACCTTTCAATGTGGGGATGTGATGAGGATTGGGTATGGATAATAATATAATAGTTTAGAGCTGGTGGTCATGGCAAGGTGAAGTTTCTAAAAAGGATTCAAAGTGTCTTGAAGAGTAAATAGTCTTTTTAACATTTTTTAAAAATTTATTTTCAATCACAGTTGAAGAGTAAGTAGTCTTTTAAAGCAATTTATTGAAAAGTTGAAAGGTCTAACGTTTATTTAAATGATTTTTTAGCAAGATCCTGAGATGAACAATATAGTTATTTGCAACTTTTATCTTCCCGGGCAAGAATTTCGCAGAATAGTAGAGCTGTGTTGTTGAAGCCCGTGGAACAAGAAAGCCTTGTTAATGTAGACAGTAAACTGTGTGGGTGTCAATGGTTTGGGCTCTCACTTACCTGTAAAGTGTAAATAAGAACATCACAAGTTGTTGGGGAGTGTTCAATATTATATTACCTTTCATGAAGCAAAGCATGGCCCATAGTTGGTGTGTGATGAATAGAAACCCTTCTCATTGCCTATTCTTGACCAGTAACCTTTGCATGGTCATTTTCAGAGTTTGGGGGAAATTCCTTAAGCAAGTCCTGCGTCTTCCCCTCCATCTACAGAAATAATGTAATCTCCGAATGCCTTGAGGACGAAAGCAGCAGGCTGTGGTGCCCAACCACAGAGAACATGGACAAGGACGGGAAGTGGAGTCTCTGTGCCGACACCAGTAATCTGGGCACGGGGATTGGGTGCGGGTGGGCCCTTCATTCGTTTACTCAACAAATACCTACTCCAGCCCCACTGGGAGCCAGACACTGTGCCTGGGCTCTGGGGATACGATGACCATTAAGGCAGAGCTCTGCCCTCGTTGGTTTGATGAACAAGTAGCAAAAACAATACTATTTTTAAGGGTGTGGGGTTTTTTTCCTTAAAAAAATCTATTAATAAGAAAACTAGGGTAGGAAAGCCAGTTCAAAGGATGTTAAGAAAAATACATATAGTCAGTGAAGAAAAGAGTGCTGAGCAGAAGCAAGATTGCTAAATTAGATACAAAAGCTGTTCATATCTAAGGGGCTATCAAACCTCTGGGGTTATCTTGTCTACCAGACAGAAATTATTGGCATCTCTGTTGAACAAAAATTATTCACAAAATATTAATCGTCTACAAGCTACAGAGTTGGGGCCTCCAATCCATAGCAGATAGGTAGTCAAACAAAGTTATATTTTCCTAGAGCAGCCATCTGCAAACTCGGCCTGCCTATGGGCCAAATCTGAACCAACTCTTCTTTCTTTTTTTAATTGATTTTTTTTTTTTAAGAGAGAGAGAGAGAAACATTGATGCTGTAGCGTAAAGTCCCGGGCATAACCACTGTCTCTTCTCCTTCTCCCAAGGAATTACATCCATGGTTCCTGGCTATCCCTGCCACTTCCCATTCATCTATAAAAACAAGAATTATTTTAACTGCACTACCAAAGGATCAAAGAGAAACATTTTATGGTGTGCAACCTCTTACAACTATGACCGGGACCGCACCTGGGTGTACTGCTAATGCAAAGGTAAGACAGGCAGCACCCTGGGTTCTGCAAGAGCAGAACTATCTTCTTGCAGGTCCCTCTCCCACCAAACTTACGGCAATAGAGGTGAGGTGTGGGCGCACACTGTCCATTGACTGACTGGCTCCCATGAGCCAGGTGAGGGGCAGGGGGTGGCTCAGCTGCTTCTGACTGAGTCTTGAAAGTCAATACAGTTTATATTACATTTTGAGTCAATGGATACCTGTGACCTAAACGCTGGCTTTGGATTTTATTTTCAAGGGGAGGAAAAACATCTTCAGAGGAAGACAGGTCAAGTCTGGAACCAGCTTCATCTTTTTCTCACCATCTTTCAAGCTTAGATAATCACTTTTAGAAATACCCTGTCCACTATCTTGCTTAATCACTTGGTTGCTTGTGAAAAACAGAGGGAGAATGTAGCCTAACCACCAATAAAGGAGCCTGAGATGAACTTGGGCTGCCCTTTCTGCCTCCTAAACTGAGAGATATGGTGAGGGATGCGAGTGTGTGGTGACTGTGTTGGTGAGACACATGGTGGGGAGATCAGATTTTCAACCCAGGGAGCCTTGGAAGTAAGTACAGCCTGCTCTCTCTTTCTAGAAAACTCTGATTTGAATGGAGCATTTGTAGGCACTTATTTAATCATTAATAAATAAATTAGTAAGTAAACAAAAGGTAGGAAATTCATTGCAAGGCCACCTCGATGAGTCCTTCCCCATGACCATTGCAGACATCAATAATTGATTACAGAATCTGTTTCCCTGGGAGCCCAGGTGCAATCTCATGTTCTCCTCCTCCTTCCCCTCCTCCTTATACTCCAGCTAATTCAACCACCTTGCCTCTTTCCCCAGTTCTCTTGGTATCTCACCACCCCACTTTATCTTCCTCAAAGCATCTTCCTGATCTGAGGTTCTCTTAAGTAATTCTTTTTCTTCTCCCCTCACCCTGGACTATAACCGCAAAGAAAGCAAAGACCTTGTCGCTGGAACCTAGAATAACCCCAGGCTTATAGCACGGACAGGCACTGTCCAATACAGTAGCCACTAACCACAGGGGGCTATTTATTTTTTAATATGTTTTTTTATTGATTTTAGAGAGAGACGAAGGGACAGGGGGAGAGAGAGAGAAACATTGATGGCTGCCTCCTGCACTTCCCTTACTGGGGATTGAGCCCACAACCCAGGCATGTGCCCTGATCAGGAATCAAACCAGCGACCTCTCAATGCATGGGACAACTGAGCCACACCGGCCAGGGCCACACTGGGCTATATGAACTTAACTAATTGATAAAATCAATAATTTATTAATGAAATGTTATTAACTTAATACAAGAAAAATAAAGCTCAGTTTCTCAGCCTCACTCATCATGAAGCAGGATAGTAAGAAGCTAGGAAAATTCCTGGCGAGTGGAATGGGGAAACTGAAACAAGATAATTAAACAAGGCCAAGCAATTTGAACAACTTAGAGCCAGCTAGTGAATTGCAAGACTTTATCTTCCCGAACCAAGGACACTTGAGAGCAAACTGTTTATCTCTCTCCCCCCCAACCAGAGAATATATAGCGTAAATTGACTTGGTGGAGAAGAACACAGACCCAATTAATGCCATTTGTGCCAGCCAAACCCAAGGACAGATGAAGTCAGGGGAACAAATAACAAAAACCCCATCAGAGCCAGACAGACCCAAGATAAAACGAAAACAGTAAAGCGGACCAGAGAATAATCCCAGACTCCACTATACCCTCATTTTGACGCATCAGCATATTAAAAACACATGCGGAAAGCTGATGACTATTCTGCTGAAACCCAGCCCTTAAAATTCTGGCCTGCGGAAGGGAGATAAAACCCTGGAGACAAAAGGTACCAGCGCTGGCTGGCTCTAGAGCACACCCCTGTCCCTTCTCGGGCATGAACTTTTACTTCCTCCTGAACCCTAAGGGACACCACTAGACTTGCAGCCAAGGGAGCAGTGGGCAGTGGCAGCTTGTCCCGGGTTTACATGCCCCATCCTGTCTTCTAGGTCCCCTTTTTCTCTGACTTTCCAGTGAGCTGACAGCAGCCCCACCTTGGCTCTCTTCTTTCCTATGTTTCTAGGAAGCTGAGGCAGAGCACTGCCTGGGCTCTTTCCTGTTGCTCTCTCCTAGGCTCTATCCTAAGCCCTTCCTTGTTTCACTGTCCCCAGCTTTAATAAACATACTCTCAAAATCACCTGGACTTGTGTTGCGAAATCTTTCCTGCGTGAAGGCAAGAACCCACACACTACTGGCTGGACTCAGGGCCTGGTCCCTGTCTGGTGACATTCACATTTAATACTTAATAGTCACATATGGCTAGTGACTGCCAGAATGCACGACACAGATCAAGAACATTTCCATCACTGCCAAAGAGCCTACTAAATTGTGTAGCTCTAGAATAGAAGCTCCCTGAGGTCAAGAACCTCATCACTGCTCTATTTCCCTCACCTGGGACAGTAGGGACTGACTAGGTGAGTCAGTGAGTGGATGGGTGGTGGGTGAGAGTACAGATGCAACAGATGGAGCTGGGATGGGAGGCGGAAGTTGACTTTGAAAGGCTCATCTGGACTGTATCACTCCTCTGCCCCAAACCCTCCAAGTTCCTTAAAACAACCTCTAAGAACAGGCTCCCGTGACTGAACCCCTGGTCCACTCTGACCCCCTTCCTGTTGGTGGTGGTGGAAAGAACACCAGGTGTTAGACTGGTGGGGTCAGACCAGACCCGGGTTCAGCAACCTCAGTACTTGAGTTCTGGCTGGGAAAGAATTCAGAACCAAGACTCAAACTGTAAGAGAACATTTATTTGGAAAATCACGGAGGTGGAAGAAATGAATGGTGGAAGAAACGAGCTCAGGAAACAAGTTATAGAGGCAAAAGAAGGGCCCTTGGAGCTTGGGAGTGAGGAAGGTAATGATAACATGCCTGGAGAAGAGGGAGGGGGGAGGGAAAGGCATGGGGCTGCTCCGGGGAGGAAGAGCAGGCCGGGTCCTCTGTCCTAAGGGTTTTAAGGGAGGAGATTTTAGGGGAGGTCCCAGGGGAAGGTCTCAATAGAATATTCAGCAGCTTTCCAAGTGTATCCTTTCAGGGTATGGTCTCCACTGATTGATTGTTGGTGCCAGGGCGGGGGTCATTATCCGACGCAGCTGGTCCTGAGGTCAGCAGAGGCATCAATTGTCTGGTTTTGCTGATTTTCTGGACTTGGAGCTGAAATACAACTGAGGCCTGGATGTCATCTCTAAGCAGAAAGGTCTGGGGGTCCAAACCACATGACCAGTGATAAGCTAGGAGAGGATAGGTCACCCTGGGGGCAAGATCCCACCCTATGATTGTCCACTGCTAGGCCCTTAGGGCTTTCCACCCTGGTGACCTTCTGTACCTGGCTCACCGTTCGGGCTCTGCTCACGTCTGTCTAACTGCCCACCACACCCCCCTCTCCAGCCACCCTGGTCTCCTTGCCATTCCTCCAGGCACATTCCTGCCTCGGGGCCTTTGCACTCACCCTACACTGTGTCCAAAATGCTCCCCAGGCATGCACCTGATGTCCCTATAGAATGACAACTCCTGTCCATTCCCAGAACCCCTCAAGCCACTTTGTTTCATTTTCCCCATATCTCTTACCACCTTCTAACATTCTACAGATGATTACATTTACTCATTTATTTTGTTGTGTGGCTGCCTCCTCCCGCTATAATGTTAGCTCCTGGGAGCGGGGTTTGGGCTTGGAAGAGAGCCTTGCATGGCAAGCACCCCATACATCAAGGCCGAGTAAAGGAAGGGTGGAAGGAAGGGGGGGGGGAGGCAATGGCGGGTAGGAAGCTTAAAATGAAATGGTCTCTTTATGGTAAAGTGACAATAAGGAGAGGCCACAGTAAGGGGTGAGAAAATGCATTATTCTGACTCCACTTTTTTTTATTTAAGTTTTAATTCTACGAAACGAGGGTACTGAACGCGATGACCCATCTGTGCATCTACCTGCTGGATTTCAAATGTGAGCAAAACTTGGAGGGAGGCCTGAGCTGAGGGCCTTTGCGTTAGGGACGCATCCTGCTCACAGGGAGAGGTGAGGAGGAAGGTACCTTCCAGTTTCGCAGCCGGACCTGCATCAGGCGTGGGGATGGAGCCGCCTGCCCGGAGACCCGCAGGGATCTCCCGCACAGCCCAGGCCGCCGGCTCGGAGGCAGGGGCTTCCAGCCGCAGTCCAGGGAACCTGTCTGAGCCGAGGATTTGGAGGCTCCCGTCCTCAGTGAGACCTCTCTCTTTGCAGGATATTTTGCGGGGGATTAATTCCCTGGGGATCAGCTTGGCCTAAACCTTTTTAAACCGATTTGTGATTTAATCCAGTGGCCAGAGTCTCTTACCCAAGGAGAAGGAATTAGGAAGCCGGAGGGGAAAGCAGACAAGCATCCAGGAAACCAAGGAGGGGGTGGGGGTAAGCTCACTTTGATGCCTCTTTGAGGAGCCGTTTCCAAGCCCAGTCTTAGGGTACCCGCGTCTAGCCCCGTGATTGGCCCCCCTTCGCCCAGGGAAAGAGACGAGGGCTCTGAGGCAGACGGGCAGGGAGCGCGAAGGCAGAACTAGTGCTGACCGTTTCGAGAACAGACGACTCTAACGCAAGAGGAAGCTGGGGAAGGGACGGGCAGGTCGCCGCAGGGCTACAGGATTGTGCGGAGTGGGAGATGTCGTTCCCCTGTGGAATTCCTGGAGCAGCAACTGGACCCTAGTCCAGCTCTCATTTCCATATGTGGAGTCTTCCTCCTCGATCTAGCTCTAGAGATGTAGCCCCCCCCCGCCCCCCACAAAGCTCTCCCTTTCCATGGAACCTCATTCCAGTCCCCAAACGCCCTAGAAGGGCATTGTCCTCCACGGTGACCACGGTGGGGAGCGACGGGGTCCCAGACCTCCTCAGCGAGACATCATCTTCACAAACTCTGCAAAGAAAGGTCCCCGGTGAGGCGTTTATTTGTAAGAGCAGCAACATCACCTTTCTGAGCCCTTCCTACTGTCAGGAACCATGGTGGCCTTTGGAAAATTACTTGGCCCCTCTCTGCCTTGATTTCCTCAATGACAAAATGAGAAGTTGCCTGATATGGTTTTTAAGGTGGTTAAACAATATTATGCTTGTAAGTCACACTAGGTGTTAAATAAATAGCAATTACTAGTATCTTACTTCATCTTTTCAATCAACCCTAGAGCATCTTTTTAACCAATCTGTTAAGACCACTTAACAGATAGGCAAACCAAGGCCAGCAAGGTTGGCCAATGTGCCTGAGGTCACGTGAGCGGGCGAGTGGTGAGCCCTAGAATGAACAAAGGTTGTCCTGACTGCTGTGACCCAAGCCGGTGAACTCACTGGTCCCACTCAGGTCTTGAGGTAAGTCTGCCCCTCCCTTGCCTGTGGTGGGCTTGACGCCCTGTCTCCTCAAAGGTCTATCTCGTGCCTCTTACCGATCTTCATGGATGCCCACTACACCCGAGCCTGGCTAGGCCCGCAGGCACCCAGCATTTGCTAGGTCGTAGCCATGCAGCAAATACTAAGTATGGGGAGTTACAGAGCAGAGATGGTTCAGAGAAGACCCCTCGCTGCCCCCCAGAATTTCTCAGCCCAGGAGGCGAACACAAGTCACACAGCAGGTCTGTGGTGACCACTTCCTGTGGAGAGGAATGGAAAGATCTGTCAGGCTCCGCAGCGGGGACCAGTACACCCAGCTAAGGGTGAAGGGGCGTGTCTTTGCAGAGGTTGCATTGTCGTGAAGTCCTGGGAGATGGGTAAGATCTGGAAAGGGCATCAATGACATGGGGAAGCATGTCAGTGGAAGGAACCCTGGGGAGAGAGGACCAGAAGTTGGGGAGAGCAGAGCAGCACCCAGTGTGCACCAGAACATGGAAGGTCAGAAGGTGGCCAGAGAAGACACGGCTCAAGGGAGGGGGCCGGGCCACGGACGCACTTGAACATCAGACTAAGGACCCTGGGCTGGGTCTTTAGGCAGCAGTTAGGCGCTGAGTCTTGAGTCAGTGTTATCATCGGAACTGGACAAGCCCGGTTCGTCTCCCACAAAAATGATCTCTGCTCCCGTCAGCACAGGACTCCGATCTTTCTCCTTTATCTAGTCACTCAGTCTACACATGTTGAGCTCTGTGCTAGGAACTGGGGATCCAGTGATGGAAGGTGCGGTCAGCGGTCTGGGAAGGAAACAGGCTATAGTCATGTAAGCTGTCGCAACGTCACGGATCAGGCTTGCTGCAGAGGCATGCGTGGGGGTTATGGGGTCACGGAGCCTGGTATGTGAAGTGGGACACCTTCCAGGAGCTTAACTAAGAGTTAGCCAGCAGAGCCCTGGCCAGTGGCTCAGTTGGTTCAAGCATCATCCTTAACACCAAAAGGTTGTGGGTTCGATCCCCAGTCAGGCCTCGAACAGGAGGCAACCAATTGATGTTTCTCTCTCTCCCTTCCTCTCTCTAAAAATCATTTTAAGCCCAGCCAGGCGTGGCTCAGCGGTTGAGCATCGACCTAGGACCGAGGAGATCGCGGTTCAATTCCCAGTCAGGGCACATGCCTGTGTTGCGGGCTTGATCTCCAGTGGGGGCCGTGCAGGGGGCAGCTGATCAATGACTCTCATCATTGATGATTCTGTCTCTCTCTCTCCTTCTCCCTTCCTCTCCCTGAAATCAATAAAGATATACTTTAAAAAATCAATTTAAAAACACACATATATCCTCAGGTGAGGATTTAAAAAAAAAAGTTAGCCAGTGGAAAGAGGAAAGGGTATCCCAGAAAGGGCAGTGACATGAGAGCGGAGAGGAAGTGGCGCTTGGTGCATGATTCCTTTCCGTTTCCTCCAAAACTTTGGAAGAAAAGTCTCATCATTACCCCCATTTTGTAGATGTGAAAATTTTGACAAAATGTATAAGTGCTGGGCTAAGGCCACAGAGTTAGTAAGAGACTAAATTTGAACCCTGCGAATCTGGCCCCCGAGTCTCAGCTACCAACCAGTCCACTCTTCTTCTGATGGGACATTTTGTTCCAATGACAAAGGCACCCAGTGAACAAGGACGGGATGGGGAGGTGGTCATGATTCTTGGGGAGCACGTGTAGGAGGGGCCCCGGGCACGGTGTTCCAAGGAGCAGCTGGGGGCAGAAGCGAGAGGTGAGGGGCACTGAGGTCTTTGAAATGACATAGGGTTGCAATAAAAACCCTTCCAAAACCTGCTGCACCCCCCACACCCCACCCAGCCTAAACCTGGGGGAAGAGTGAGCAGGAACAGCAACTGGGAAAATCACGTGGGGTGTCGGAGCTGGAGGCGGCACCTTCAAAGTCCACAGTGCCGTCTCCATTCACGTCGGCTTCCTGGACAACCTCGGAGATCTCCTGGGAGGTGAGCTTCTCGCCCAGAAGTCTTTGCATGGCCTGCTGCAGCTCTCCCAGGGTGATCTCCCCGTCGCCGTTGGTGTCAAACTGGACAGGAGCAGAAGGAGACAGTGCAGGTGGCCTTTGAATGACTTCCTATTACCTGCTTGAAGATGAGAAGTCCTAACGTGTTTTGGCGATTGCAAGATCTTAGATAAGATTTGTAATCTCCATGAGTGAGAGTTTCCTCATATTTATGATTAAGATAAATGACTACTGGCCCTGGCCAGGTAGCTTGGTTAGAGCATCGTCCCAACCCGCCAAGGTTGTGGGTTCCATCCCCAGTCAGGGCACATACAAGAATCAACCAATGAATGCAAAAATAAATGGAACAACAAATCGGTTTCTCCCCTCCCCTCTCCCTCTCAGTTTGGCTCAGTGGCTAGAGCATCGGCCCGCAGACTGAAGGGTCCCAGGCTCAATTCTGGCCAAGGGCACGGACCTGAGTTGCAGGCTCAATCCCTGGCCCCAGTCGGGGCGCATGTGGGAGACAACAAATCGATGTGTCTCTCGCACATCTATGTTTCTCTCTCCCTCTCCTTTCAACTTTCTCTGAAAAGCAACGGAAAAAATATCCTCAGGTGAGGATTAAAAAATAAATAAAAGTAAATATAATAAAATCAATGAATAAAAAATTAAAAAAAGAGATAAATGACTACTAATTCCTGCCCTTATTTCTGAAGGTTGCATTAAATAAAATAGAGAGAGCACCTTGTCCAATGCGGGAACTTGGAATATGTTTTATATTTTACTTTCTTATAAATCCCACTATAGCTAGAAAAATAGTTGGTTTGGGTGGGTTCTGTCCATGGTTGATGACTCATCATTGGCCTCTGGGTCTCCTTCCACCACCCCCAGGATTGTGAGATTCTCAACTCACTTCCTTGAAGGCATCTCGCATCTCCTGGATGCCAATCATCCCAGCCGTTTCTGCAAGCAATTTGGGAGTCATCAGCTCCACAAAGTCATCAAAGTCGACACGGCCACCCACTGGGGAAGGAGAGGCAGGTCTAGTGAGATTCTGTGTGGCCCAGCCCTCCATTACCTCACTTTGCCCTTCAGATCTGTTCAAGACATATATCTCCAATCTCTCTGCCTTCTGAGCTTTCACTTTCAGCCAACTCAAGCCCTCTTGTCTCTCTAATCTGGACAGGGCTGGATGGAGTGTGATATGGTGGAAGTAACGAACTGTCCATGTAACGTGGAATAAATCTCTTCACTGGTTCACATCTATATTCCCTCACCTGTAGATCTGTAGAAGAAAGAGTATGGGCTAAATGAGCACCAAGTCTCTTCCAGATACGAATACTACCATGGCCTTGAATTCAACCTTGTTTACCCAGTAACATGCTCAGAAGCAAACCCAACAGTAATTTTATCCCAACTTCCACCCCCAAATCCGCTCTGGTTGCCATCTGGAAAAAAACACACATCCTTTTTGCAAAACTGTTCATCAACATTAGCTCCAAGTCCAAGTTTGTTTCCCGCATCAAAAGCAGTTCCAATCTTGTGTTCCACTGATGAATCTTAGTGGTGATAGTAATAACCAGCATTTAATAAGCATTTATTGGAGGCTAAGCCTTTACTTGCATTTGCATCTTTATCCCTTCCTTCCCACAATCCCATGAAGTAAGCAGTGATACCATCTTCACTCGACAGATGCGGAAACTAAGACTCAAGAGCGGGGCTTAATTCCACTTTTTCAAAATGACCACAGTTTGTAAATAATAGAACTGGGACTTGAACCCAAATCTATCTTTAAGAGCCACCATTTCCCCCACTTCAAATGCTGCCTCCCTAAGTATAATCTGAACTGTTTCTTTCCAGGCTTCTAGTCCCTCTTACCCTCCTCCCTATCTCCAACTCTACTCTCAACCTCTATATCCTTACCAATTATAATAGCCCTCCCCTCACCCCAGTAATTCCTCCCACTCCCCGGCCTCACAGTTCATGCGAATTTGCTGGCCCAATTGAGTCAGTTCCATCTCCGTGGGCATGTAACCCATTGTTCTCATGAGATTTCCCAGATCCTTACAAGAGATGAACCCATCTCGGTCCTTGTCGAACTCAAGAAATGCCTCCTGGAGCTCTGAAAGTTAAGAGGAAACAACTTTTGAGGAACTCAAAATGGTCAGTGGGGAAGAGTAGCTTCCCTTGAAACCATCAATGAGGCATACAGAGACTCCTCAAAGAACACGTTTTAAAAACCAATATTTCAAAAAAGAGTGACGTACGAAATGTGTTAGCAAGAGGATCGATTCCTGAGGCCACTGAATGGTAGCACTCAAGTCCTTCCAAGTCTTGGGTGAAGATATGGGACACTTCAAAACCATCAAGAGAAAAACCAATGATTTTTGATTCATCCTAACACTCATGTGTCACTCCTGGGTCTCTGAGACACGGGGGAAGGGTATGCCTTCTAAACACTTTGGGAGGTACCTACGCTGCCATGAGAAAGAATTCCACGAAATCACAGCTGAGTGGAAAGAGAGCAATGTAAAATTTCCATGTGAGGGGACTTACACCGAAATGCACAAAGGGACAGGGAGCAGGCACGTGAGTGGATGGTGATGTGGGGGCATCAGGGGGAGAGTGTACCTTCCATCTCATCTTGTCCCAGTGGCCTTTCCTGGAGAGGAACGCAAGGGAGATGGAATTTGGAGAGAGCGTCAGTCATCCAACGTTCCATCCTCCAAACGTCCCCACATCTTGCGGCCCCTTCCCCCTTTCCTGTCTCCTCCAAGCCCTGCTCCCCTCCACCCCTCACCTTCCTCCCTCCTCTGGTCTCCTGGCTCCCATTCCACAGCTATTTGCTCCCCACCCTTTCTCACCCCTCTCCTTTCCTCTCCCATCCTTGAATCTTGAGCTCTCTCCTGCCTTTCCCAAGGAGACATCCATCCCATTGTGCCCAACAGGGTCTCAGAGGCCATCAAATCCAACCCCTCAATCGCCAGATGAAGGGACTTCCGACCTCACCCTCACTCACCCTCTGCTTTTCAGCGATTCCTTTCCTCAGGAAGATGCAGGCGGGGCCCACGGGGAACTGCATGGAGGGGCAGGGCGGAGCTCACGAGGGGCGGGGCACCAATCTCAAGACGGTTCCCTCCTTCCCGGGCCCTCCGTGGCTCAGCCTCTTTATCTTTTCTATCACTCCTTTGCCAACTCTTCCTGCCTCTCCCTGTCAGAGCTGTGACAGCAGAGGGATCAGAGCAGCTCCTGCCTCCCCATCTGGCTTTAGTGAGACAGGAGGGGCAGCCAGTCTCAGGCTCTGACCTTTTATCCCCAGAATGGAATTGGAGAGTTTAAAAAGTGGGGATTAGAGCAGAGGGTGCCCATTCATTAGAAGCCCCAAGTGTGTACAGTCACTGGAAGCCTGGCCTCTAGGCATGTGAAGATGGAGGGGACATCACATAGCAGTGAGTTCGCATACGCTGCTAGGTGCCCAGCCAGAGACAGAGATAGAGAGACATTGGTTGCCTCCCAGAAGTGCCCTGAGCAGAGCTGGGGAGTGAACCTGCAACCCAGGTACGTGTCCTTGACTGGGAATCAAACCCGGGACCCTTTGATGCATGGGCCAACACTCTAACCACTTAGCCACACCGGCCGGGGCCTGTTAGGAATTCTTTTAGCTGAGAAACAAAAGCCATTTTAATGGAGGCATAATTGCCTTCCCCCAGGACAAGAGGCGGTCAGGCAGCAACTGCCCTTGGCTCGCTGGTTAAGGGTTGCCCGGCTGCTATCTCTGACTCCCCTGGCTTGTTCCTCCTGATCACAACCATCGCATACGAGTTGAGGCAGGAAGAGAAGGACTGGCTCCTTTTCAATCAGGAGAAATAGCAGACTAAGTGCCAGGCGGCATGCTGGGAGCTGGGGATGCTAGGACGAGCAGAACAGAGCCACTGCTGCCCAAGCAGGTCAGGTCCAGAAAGCTGCGCAAGGATTTGAGGACAGATCCAGACACCAGGTGGTGCGAGGCAGAGCTGGGTCTCACACAAGCCACTGGACTTATGGTCTCCCAAGGGAGGGGCTCTGTCCCCAAAAGGTGTGGGGCCCAGAGCCAGACAAGTCAGAACCCTGGTGCTCCCACTCCCGGCTACAGCCCTGGGTGAGCCTGTTTCCTCTTCTGAGTTCCTGTTCCCATCTGGGACAGTGCCCACCTAGTTCGGTTGCTGGGAGATTAAATGAGTATATTTATAAATAATAAGTTGAGAGGGCCACTGTCCAATACAACAGCCATTAACCACATGGGGCTATTTAAGTGAAATTTAATTAAAAATAAACAGAATATGAGTCTCCAGTTGCACCAGCCACATTTCAGGTGCTTGCTAGCCGCAGGTGGCCGGTGGCTGTCACATTGCAGTGTGGATGGGAGATGTTCTATCCTGGAGAGAGCCCTGCAGGAAGGCGCTGCTTTAGACAGCCCCCGGCACGCGCCCTCCCAGTGTGAGCTATCAGCGCCCTCAGAGCCCAACACAGACCTGGACACACACAGAGCTGGTGTTTAATAATTATTTATTGACAAAAAGTGACTGACTAAACCTCCAGCTTAACCACACCCTTACACACACCACGTGGTTGGACTGCACACCAGATCTACTTGGCAACAGAGGTGTTGTCCCGGCCCCCGAGGGTGAGGCCTAGTAGAAATCCTCCAGGTCGGAGTCCAGGTCTGTGTCCTCCTGGTTCTGAATCTGACTCTGCCTCCTGTACAGCCAGGCCACCTGGGGACACAGGGCAGGTGGCGGTAAGAGCCAGGGGCTGCCCACCCGCCGCCATTCCAGGCCAGTGCCCATTTCTCCACGAAGCTGTCAGCCAGGCAAGCCCACCCCTCCGAGAGCCCCACCTGGGCACTGGTGGTGGCCTCCTCTGGCTTCTTATCTTCACGGACGCGAACAAACCGAGGGAAGCGAAGGGAGATCCCCTTCTCACTGTCCACCTGGGGAGAAGGTGATGATGGGGACCTCCTGTGGTCGAGCCCCCAGTGTCACTAACAGTTCCCTACCAAAGGCTCCTCCCTGTTCCTGCACCTGTGGCCTCAGTTTCCTGACGCATACAATGGGGCTAAGCAATGGGTTGTAAGCTTGAGGTTTCCCAATCACCACCCAGGAAGGGCAAGTATCAGCAGGGTCCCCTCCCCACTCTCCCAGCTGGAATTCCGTAGGAGGGTCTACCCCAGGCCCCTGCCACTCACCAGACCACGGGCAGCCGGGTAAATGGGAGACAGGGAGAGGTCGGCGCATCTGACCTCCCACACAGTGCTGGGCTCCAGCCAGTGGTCAGGGGCCACGGCACCGTCTGCCCGGACGTAGGAGCGTGGGGTGGGCAGTACTAGGGCCTGCAGGGAGCAGTGGGAGGTAGAAGAGAGGGTCTTGGGTCTCAGAGTCAAGGTTGAGGGTTAGGGGTTTGGGAAATGAACTAAATGGGGGGAGAGAGATGGAGATACAGACCCTCCTTAAAGTACAAAGCCAGGGATGGGGGGTGGGGAGAAACGGGAGAAGGGAAGAAATGAAAGACAGAGACCCTGGGGGCTGAGACAAGAAATTAAAGACTAACAGAGGTAGAGAGAGGGACAGAGACCCAGAGAGGTGGGGATAGAGACCTAGAGAGAGAAGAAACCAAAGAATGGACAGAAACAAAAACAGAGATACCAACCCGAAAGACAAGTCACACCCAAAACACCTGTGACCATGACCAGAAACACTCCCACTTAGTAGAGGCTCAGCTAGCACCCTAAGGATCTACTCAGGGAACCATGCAACAGCTCCTGCCTCGTGACCACCCTCCCCGCCCGAGGCTGAGCTTGGGGAGATGAGGCTCCCTGACTGGCCTCACTGGTCAGTGGCTGGCACAGCTGGACTTGAATCTGGACACACTGGGCTCTAAAGCTGCGCACTGCCCACTACCCTGTGGCATCCTGAGCCAGGCAGGTGGAGGCGGGGGCCCCAAGCACAGAGCACACAGAGCGCGCACCACTCACCTGGAGGGTCTGGTGATATTCCTCCAGCTCTTCATCGCTGAAGCCAGTTCCGAGCTGCGGAAAGGTCGGCAGGTCAGTGGCCTACACTGCCTCCTGCTCCTACAACTGAGGCCCTGAATCTGCTCACCAGCAGCCCCCGCCCTGCTCCAGCTTAACCAGTACCCACAGACACCACAGGGGGTGCTAAGCACCCAGCCGACCCCTTATAGGCCGTGGAGGGGGAATGACTCTTCCAGCCTTGGTCCCTGTTCCTTCTGCTGTCTCCCTTGGGCCCCCTGACATCCCACCAGCCCCATAACTGGTGTCATGTCCAATCTTAACACTGCCAAGAGTTTTCTTTCACCCACCAAAATAGTCAAGGCTAAAAAGTACTCCTTGATGCTGGCAAAAACAGCAAGATGGACAACTTCAAACCACTGATACAAAATGTCAGCAAAATCCCTTTTGCATTGAGAGCCTTAAAATTTTCTCACCTTTCATCCCCTCAACGGCTCTTGCAGAAAACTATTCTAAATAAATTGTGTAAAATGGTGACAGACTGATGACCACAGATATTTATGAGTTGTAAAATCACTTCTATCACGGACTGAGTTAACTGCACGCACATGCGGACTTTTAAGGACAAAGAAACAACAACTACCATCCAACTGCAGAAGCTGGTTTGGGAAACGCACCCCATGTTTCCCAGCCAGCCTTGCAGAGGGACTGGGCCACAGAGCAAAGTTCTGACCAATGCAACTTAGCAGAAGTTGTTCACTGGCTAAGGCTGACTCAGGCGGCCCATTCTCCCTCTGCCTATGGGCAGAGCATGAATGGCCACCGTGGCTGGAGCTACTGCAGCCACATTGCGAAGAAGAGGCTGAAGCACATGACAAAAACCACTGTGGGGAAAGAAGCCTGGGTCCCTAATGCCACCGGAGAGCTGCCTGCCCCCTTTCAGACTCCTCATTACATGACAGAGAAAGAAACCCTTCTTTCCCTTAAGCCTCTGTAACCGAACTCAATTTGTAACTGACACAGCTTCCTTGCATCTTTCTACACTGGCCCACTATTCTACAGGAAGCAAAAGATACTTTATAGGATCAGAAAAAGGCAATAAAAACTAGGAAAACAATGACGCACCACAGGGAGGTGAACGTCCCTGACCCGGGCATTCCCAGGCTGAGTGGAGCCCACCTCCCCACTCTGTCCGCCCAGTGCCCCACACCTTGCATATGGCCTGGAGCTCCTCACTCTCCGCATCGTAGGAGGCCAGCAGGAAGCCCCCATAGCGGCCGGCCCGCTTCCCCCGGCCCAGGTAGGCGCCAATCACCACAAGATCCAGGGTGTCGCCCACGCCGTCCAAGTAGTCCTTCTTCAGCTGGGAGGAGGGAAGGCAGGAGATGAGGGGGAGGTCACGGAATCCATGGGTTGGGAGACCGGAGTGAGTGTGAGGACCATTTCCATAAAGAAAACCAAGGGTGGCCGCCGTGAGAATAGACATGGCATGAGCGTCCAGGCAGAAAGAGCGAAGGAAAAGAGGAGACTGCAATGGGAAGAGCAGGTGCGAGGGAGGGGACAGGCCAGATGGGGAGACCTGAGGTCGTCCTGGATTCACCCTTCCCTCAGTACAGAGACACATTTCCACTCACTCTTTCAGAGAACATTTATCCATTCATTCCAGAAACACTAAGTAAGTGCCAGCTGTGTGCCAGGCAGGAGCTCAGCCTTAGGGATGCACAATGACTGCTTCCTAAGACAGGAAAGGTTCATACCCTCACAGCTGCTTACAGTCTAGGAGGGGACAGGCCACAGACGACTCACAAACACACAGAGAGACCCAGCAGACAGGCCTGGTGATTGGCGCCAGCCCAACTCCACACCATCCCCTGCTCTGGTCCTCCTGGCCCTCTGCAAGTCCCTCTCCATCAAGCCTCCAGCATCTCCTACCAGACAGCAGCGTCCCACCCCCATGCTCTCGCTTCTGCCTAACCACCCCCACAACCGTTACCATCCACAGAGCAACAAAGGACCTGTGCAAAACGGCAATCAGACCACGTGCCTTTCTGCTCAGAACCTCTGCTGGCCCTGAAATCCCAAGGATCAAGTTTTCTTTTACCATGGCCCCCAGCACGCTGGGTCATCTGGGGCCTGCTCTCCACCCTGACCTCACCTCACAGCTGGATGGCCTTGCTCCCTGTACAACTTGGCTTGTTCCTCCCTCAGGGCCTTTGCACTTGCTGCTCACCCTGCCTACGTGTCTGCTCCAATCTTCATGAGGCCGACCTTTCCTGTCATCTGTGTCGTGACCCAAATGATACCTCTGGAGAGGCTTTTTCCAGTTGCCCTGAGTTGACTTCTTTCTTAGCAGCACTCATTGCTACCTGGCTTTCTCTCCCTTGTGTCCTGGCTGACCGCCTCACCTGACATGGAAGGCAGGCTCAGGGAGAAGAGAAACCTCATCTGGCTTTACCATAGTGGCCCTCAAGGCACTTAGCTGGGCAAATTCATTGACAAGGACTTACAGAGGGAGAAGTAGGGAGACTGGGTGTAACTTGAGGCAGAAGGTTCAAGAAAAGACTCCTGAGCTCAAACAGGGTGAAGTGCGGGGATGTACAGTTGACAGCCTGGTTGGGAAAGATCTCCAGGTCCAGGGCTCAGCAGGAAGCTGGCGGGGGACATAGTCACCTTGAGCCAGTTGTGTGATCTCTTGGCGAACTCGTAGGTGGCATCGACATCCAGGGTTTTCACCATCAGCCCCTCACAGGAGTCTGAAGGAGACACAGAAGCACAGCCCTTGTGAAGCTGAGGTTCATGGCAGCCGGAGGCAGGCAGGATTGGGGAAAATCATGCAGAGTGGGGACGGGATCGGGTGCCCTCACCTTTCACTGACTGCTCCAAGAACTCTGCAATCTGGTCCACATCCTTGGTGTCCAGGGAGGTGGCAAAGACAAACTCACCCTCCGTCTCCACGAAGTTCTCTCGGAGCAGCTGCCGGCGTCGGGAAAGGGGCTCACGCACCAGGGACTGAGGGGCAGGTAAGAGAGGAAGGGACGTCATTGCGGAAAGGAAAAAGCCCTGAAACAGGGAGCCTATGGGTCACAGGCGGCTAAGGAAGCTTCAAGAGGAAGATCCATGCCAACATGAGGGTTCTGAGAATACGAGAGAGGAACTAAAAGAACCGCCTGTGGTGCCACAGGAGGGGACCAAGAATACCAAGTACACAGGGCACGGAGCGGGTGTCACAGAGTGATTCAAAGCAGCAGGAGAAACAAATTCAGGCAATGAATGGCCGATTGAGACAACTGATCTGTCCTCTGCTAAAGAAAGCCATGTCACCCACTTCCCGCCCAACACGCACGCGCACACGCACACACATGTGCAAAATTCCTGCTACCGCCCAGATTTCAAAGCAAAACACAAAATTGAAGATACCCAAAGAAAAGCTAAGTGAAAACTTTTAGCATCCTAGGGAAAGAATGACTCTTTTCTTTTTTTAATCTTGGAGATGAGGGTACATTAAGGGGCCAAGACGTTGTTTGACTACATGTAAAATAAAAGTTAACAAGTTCTATGCAGCAAAAAAGACCACCAGCCAAGTTAAAAGGCAAACACCAAATAAGAAGGGATATTTGAAATACTCATGACACGAAGGACCCCACAGAGCAGGGACAATCAGAACACGAAGCCCTGGCTGGTGTGGCTCAGTTGGCTGGGGCACCGTCCTGTGCACCAAGAAGTGGTGGGTTCAATCCCCAGTTGGGGCGAGTGTGGGAGGAAATCAATCGTATCAATGTGTTTTGTTTTCTTTCTCTCTGCCTCTCTTTAAAATCAATTTTTTAAAAAATGAAGAAAAAAACCTAAGAGCATCTAATATTTGATATTTCCCTCCAAAGATCCTGGGAAAGAGAGTGAGAATTCCATCGGTCTTCCTACAGTTACTTAATGAGGGTAAAGGCTGTGTTCATTTGCATCACAAGGAGGGCGGTTTAAGCACTGGGTGCATTTCAGCATTAGGGTCCCAAACCCGTCTGCTAGAGAAAGACACAGATAAGAACCCAACAGACAAGCAAGTCACAAGTGGGCAAGTCACAGGACAAATGACGTGGCCCACAAGTCTGAGGAGCCATTCCACCTCACTAGTAAGTCACAGGGAAAATTGTCACTGTTCAGCTACCAGATCATCAAAGAATATCTGGATGAAGATGGTGATGGTAGCTAATTTTATCGAACCCTTCCATGTGCCAGCCAATGTGCTCCATGCCCATGTCCCGCCACTTAGCCTGCCTATAACAGAGCAGGTGCTACTGGAGCTCTTCATTATGGAAAAGGAAACAGGCAGAGAGAGGCTGAGCTGGGCATCGGAAGCCACACAGCTAGGAGGGGAGAGCTGGGATACGAAAGCAACAGGCCTGGCTACAGATTCTTAACCTCTACCTACCCTGGGGCAGTGGTTCTCAAACCTCTCAGTCTCAAAATCCCTTCACTCTTGAAATTCATGGAGAACTCACTCCAAAGAGCTTCTGTGTATGTGGGTTATATCTCTCAATATTTACCATGCAGTATTAATACAGTATTAACTATACCACATTCATACTGACCATATTAAAAGGATCTCAAAAACATTAACTCATTTAAAAATAGTAATAAAACCAATGTTAACCCAACCTTTTTATGAAGCACACCTACATTTTAAAGAAATTAATTTGAAAAGGATCATTTGTTACATTTTTGCAAATTCTTTAACGTCTGGCTTAGCATGGCTGGATCCTCGGATCTGCTTCTGCACTCAGATGGCCACATGACATGGAGAAAATCCACCTCACAGACCTCTGAAGGGACCCACACGAGTCCTTGGACCATACTTGGAGAACTGTTGCCCAGGTGTGGCCTCCCAACTCAGTGACGTGACAGAGTAAGAAATGAAACTCAGACGGCTGGCTCCCAAGCTCACCCCTCGGCTGCCCCAGGAAGTGAAGCCAGGACTCACCTTTCCGTTGAGGTAGATGAGATCGAAAGCGTACAAGCAGACCTGCACCTGGATCTCTGCTGCGTCCACCTCCTGGGTTGGGGCAAAAGAGAAAGTAGAGGTGGGGAAAGGTGAGCTGGGGCCTGGCTGGGTCCCCTCCCAGCATGCCTGAGGCAGACACTGTTGTCACCTACTACTGTCCCCTGCTCACCCCCCAACAGGTCACACACCTGTGAGGGTGGCAATGCTGCCAGCCATGGACACCAAATTGTGACAGCTCTCAGCTGACACCAACCTCATTCCCCTCTGCTGGGTATTTGCTCCCTCAGCCTCCCTTGCAGCTAATGGTGGTGGCATGGCACAATTCCGCCCAATGAGAATAAGGAAGTTAACTGGGGTGCAGGTTGTGGGGGCTCCTGGAACAGACCCTCTGACATAATAAAACACAGAGATGTAGGAAAATAGTTCGTCCCCCTTTCTACTTGGTATGCTGAATGAGAACGCGATGGCTGGAGCTGTGGCAGCCATGCTGCATGAGGCTGAGGGAACTGCATCCCGACACTGACTCTGGGGCCTGGGCAGGACTAGGAGCAAGGTGAGGGAGTGTGGGACCACAGCAGACAGCGAAAGGGGCTGAAGCTACCTTGCGTTTGCGGGTGGTGAGCACTTGGAATGGCTGGATCTGCTTCTTTTCTCGGTCCCAAGCCACAGCCTCTGCGTCCAAAATGAAGGATGTGACTGACGGGAGTTTCATCTGAAAGTGGAAGAGGAAACCCAGAGCCGGTGAGAGGTGGAGGTCAAGGCCAAATGACACACACGGGGAAACAAATGTCCTTGTCCTGCGGTAGCTCCCAAGGTCCAGTGACACCTTGGTACCAAACTCAGACACATGAACGTAGACCCAGTAACCCCCACCACACTGAGCTGGCCTTGATGAACCTCAGCTCTTTGCAGCAGTAACTGTAGCCACTGCTGGAGGGAAGGAAGGGGAGGTGGGTGGCAGACACCCACCTTGGGGATGCGGCTGATGATGTCAGGGTACTTCCCAGTATTGTCTTCCTGATTCCTGCTGAAGATCTTCACCTCCCCGCCTTCCAGAACATGGATCTTGACAATGGGGGAGGGGAGAGGAAGTCAGAGCCTAGTCCACCCGAGAAAGCCCCTCCTTTCTCTTCTGACCCCACTTTCACTGGTGGAAAGTTCCAAAAGCTCTGGAGAAGAAACTGGTTCAGAGACCTGAGCAAATCATCTCCTTTTGAACAGCCTCTCTCAGCCCTCTGTCTTTTTCTGCCTCATCCCAGTCCCCCTCCTCTCTCCCTGTCTGCACAGGGTCTTGCTATGTACGTATGTTGATTTGTTGGGACATTGTTACGCTGTGAATATCATCCTGGGTGGTGTTTTTATTTTTAATATATCTTTACTGATTTCAGAGAGAGGAAGGGAGAGGGAGAGAGAGAAAGAAACAATGATGAGAGAGTCGTCACTGATCGGCTGCCTCCTGCACACCCCCCACTGGGGATCGAACCTGCAACCCAGGCATGTGCCCCAACCGGGAACTGAATCTCAATCTCCTGGATCCCACGTTGATGCTCAACTGCTGAGCCACACCCAGCCGGGCCATCCTGGGTTTTAACAGTCTGATTACGGTGCTCAAACAGAGCTACATCTAAGCCATTTTACATGTATATTATCGCAAGAAATAGTTATGTGGGATGTAACATATGTGTGACTTAAACATGAATGTATATAAATTTTAAGTCACTGTCACTATTGTAAATCATTTTGTTTGTTTTTTTTTCTCAGCACTGTGTTTTGAAGATCCATCTGTGACATGGTCCCCAGGCGATAAACAAAAGAGCCTCACGAGCACCTCACAGACTGGACAGGACGCCTGGGTCACAGGACACTCTCTATGTAATTGCACCGACAGTTCTGCAGGTGCTTGTAACAATGAACACACCCAAAAGCAGGGAACGAGCGCAGCTTATATTTCTTGAGTTCCCACTGCCGTGGGTGAGAAATTTTGACAATTTTACCAAATAAAATTGCTTTTCAGATAAGCCAGTGACATGGTCATTATCCCACCCATTGCACAGAGGTGGGAACTGAGCCCCAAGAGACGTGCAGGGCAGGGGGGCAATCCACAGAGGCTGGGTCTGAGCTGGGGCCTGACTGCCCCTGTGCCCCTGTCCTTTCTGCTAAGAGATGTGTGCCCCCACCCACACACACACATACCTGTGCCCTCTGCCCATCGTATTTGTACTCGCAGGTGAAAGCTGCCTCATCGAAGCGTTTCAGGACCTCACTGACACCCCGGGTGGGGTGGGCTAACATTGGTTTCAGGGGAACCCCTGGGAGGGGAGGAGAGGGGGAGAGTTAGGGAAGAGGGGTAGAAGGAGCACTAATTGTGCAGACTGCTAACTGCATGCACAGCGATGTGTAGGGTCTGGGTCACACCCTCACAGAAATCTGGCTGTCCGCTCTCTTTCCCTCATCTCAAAATCTAGAATAGATATGTGAACCATCTGTAATTACGTACATTAGGGTAACAACCTTGGGGTCACAAGACAGAAGAAACCTGGGTCCCTAAGTGATCCCCAGAGCAGAGCTGGGTGCCCTCCCTGGCCACCTACCTTCCTGTAGACTCGTGTATGAGAGAGATTCTGTCTGGCCTGACCCACTGCCCTTGGGGTATCTATACCTGACCTAGTCCAGAGCGGAGCCCAAGGAGGGAAAAAACGGATCTGAGCACCAGGGAACAAGATTACACCTTCACGGATGAAGAAGGTTCTGCAGGTTCTTAGAGGGGTGCCCAGGAGGGGGCATCCTCACAGCCACCCTGGAGAGCAGAAGCCAAGGCCAAGAGGAGGGAGGGGAGCCTGAAGGAGGCCAAAGCCCCAGCTCCCATGACCCCTGAGCCAACTGTGACAGCCCTTCGAGGGGCCCCGGGGTGGCGTGTACCTGGGCTCAGCTTGCAGTGCTCCGGGAGCCGTTCCAGGCCATGCTCCAGCAACACAGGGACGATCCGGTCCAGGTCAGGCACCTCGCTGGGGGTGGGGGTGGGGAGGGAGAAAAAGGTGGGAGTTGTCCTGCCAGAGCTCAGAAGTTGGGCAGCCTGAAAGCTCTGCCCTCTGCCTGCCTGTCACCTCTTTCCTGGTCAGCTCCCATCTCTCCCTGATTCCTCCTGTCACCCTGCCTCTGCTGCCTGTCCTGGTCCTCCCTCCATGTCACTATACATCACTCTGACTCTATCTCCCTTGGTATGAGCTGCCCTCACCCGCCCCCCATCTGTCATCTTGAGACCAGTGACTGTGCACCTAGACTACACATTAGAAGCACTCAAGGATATTAAAAAACTAAAACAAAAGCACAGTGTTTCTTCCAGGCAAGGCTCCACCTCCCAAAGGTGCTGATTTACCTGGTCCTGGTGGGTCTGAGAACAAGTCTGTAACCCCTTGTGCAGGCAGACCTGAGACCCCTGTCTGGGCCTGCGGGCTCTGTGCGGCTCCAGCCCAGAGCGGATGCCCCATGGGCATGTGCCGCTGACATTCTCTGGGCAGGCCAGGTCCCTCCACGTGGCTTTCCCTGGAGACCTCCCTGTCACTCCCTGCACGTCCTGACCCTTTACTGTGCATCAGTCCCCAGCCCCTCTCCACAGCCTTCCCACATGTGCAGTCCTGCCTGCTGCTCTCACCTGCTGCCAACACCTCCCCTTGCCTCTCCCCATACCTATGTCACCAATCTTTTCCTGTCTGCCACCTTCCCAGTCTTTGTCACCATCCTGTACTCAGCACCAATCTTGTCTAGATCATTACCTTGTGCTGTCACCAACCCCATGATGGTCACTAATGCTTGCCAGCTGCTGGCCCCTCCCACATCACCATGGCCCCTCCAGCTTCCCCTGGTCCCTCGCTCTGTCCCTAGATCTCACCAGAACGTCTGCTTCAGGATCATGCCTTGCTCCTCCAGCCACGCCTTTCTGGCCTCCGCTGTCTTGCCCTTCCCAGCATCCACCACAGCTGGGGGGAATTCTAAGACAAGAGCCACCAGGAGAGGTTTGGGGAAGGCCCGACCCCCTCAGCTACCCCAGGGTCCAGAGAGGTGGTGTGCTATGGACAAGGAATCAGGGTCACTTTCCTCAGGGAAGGCGTCTGGACTGGCAGCAGGAGGGACAACAGTGGGGAGGGATGTGTGGACTTCAGAGGAGAAGGGAAGCCCAGTTAACTCAAGGGGTGGGCAGGGGGACCCTACGGGGGCTCACCTTGGCCTGGGGGCGTGAGGCTCACGGCCTGGGCGAGGGCAGCCAGCACCGACTGCTCTGCCAGCCCAAGGCGCAGCCGTCCACTCAGGGCTCTGGGAGAGAGAGCAGGCAAGGGGCAGTGGGCTGGCCCACACCTGTTCAATCTTGTCCTCTACACCTTGCTCTGCCTCGTCCAGTCTCCCCAGCCTCGACCCTTTGTAGAACCTCTTCTCAAAAACCAGAACAACCTTCAGAACCACACATCACACAGCCCCACTTAACAGATAAAGAAACTGAGGCCAGCCAGTAACAATCACCACTGGCATTTCCTGGGGGCAGAACTGTGTGCCTTGCAGGTGTCCACCTCTCATTTCATCTGAGAGAGTGGTGAGGCTTAGGGAAGGGGAGGCTGGGTAGAGCCACCTGGAACCAGAACACAGCCTGCCCCATGGTGCCCAAGGGTGTGACAGTAAAGGACCTGTCACTGGCACCGGCCTTGCTCTGAGCCAGTGACCTTGAGTGTGAGGTTTAGCCTCCCTGTGCCTCCATCTCCCCTTCTGTAAACTGGGTGAAGACAACGGCCTGCCTTGCAGAGCTGCAGGGAGGCACTGACGGGGTGAAGCATGTGGCCTGGGGCAGAAAATGCTCAGGATGTCAATGGTGTTCACTGTCATGACAACGACCTGGCGCCCATGCTGCACAGCCGGGCTCAGGCCAAGGCAGGCATCATGAATCATAGCACTCTTCACCCATGAGCCCAGGGCCCTTCTCCGGGCAGTACGACCAAGGAGAGGAGCTGACCCTGAAGGAGACCTATGTCCCCATTCCACCCACAGGGCCTGGCCCTTCGAGCGTGCTGCTCTCATCTAAGGGGCCCAGCACGAACAGTGTTCCAGCTGCCTGCCCCTCTCTGCACCTCCTAGGACCACACTCACCTGGTGATGAATCGGGCTTCCGAGTGGCGGCAGGCAACAAAGAGGCCTTTGATGATGTCAATCTTCCTGGCTATAGACTGAAGAGGTGGGGGAAGAGCAGTCAGGGCCTGGGGGTGAAGGGAAGGGACCACACCTCCCGGCCACCCAGTTGCCTGGGGAGCTGCCACCTTGGAATACCTGGCCCCTCACTGCACCCCACTTCCCAGCTCCCCCAGCCACATGCTCATTAAAAAGGACCCACTCTCTCCTTGCCTCCCTACTTTGCTCAGCAAATAACTATTTAGTCTTATCTCCTAACAAGCACAAACCTCCAAAGGGAGGTTTCGCAGTCAAGTGGGAGGGAGGAAAGGCAGCTCTGCCCTGCTCAGGGAACTGAAGCCATCCAGCCCCGAACAGTCTAACCAGCAGCCCTCACACCTCAAACTTGGCTTTGGGTCACCAAGTGAAGAGCAGAGGGTCTGGGTCCTGGGGCAGGTGCCCCGCCCCACTCACAGCGCTGCCAGTGAGCCGGGCGATGTCTCGGAACTTGGCGATGACCCCGGAGGCAGTGAGGGCGGGAGGGGGCAGCATGAGTCTCTGGGTGCTGCGGCTGTTCTCAGCTACCAGCCCCACATCCCCCTTCTCGGCTGCCTCAGCCCGGACAGACTCGAGCTGCCGACCTTGGGGACAGAAGGTGAGGACCAGAGTGAGGCACGTGGCTGCATGTCAGCTTCCTCTGGCAGCCTGTTGCATCTTCTCCTGCTACATGTGCTCACGGCAGGCCCCTGACTTCCTCACCCCTAATGCTCACCCACCTGAAATGGCTGACCAACTCAACAACCCTGGGCTGGGCAGGCCTTGGACCATGAGGAACCACTTGCATGAGTGCTACCGTGCTAAGGATGTGGTTCCCTACTTCTTGGTGGCCCAGACACAGGCCCAGGCTGAAACGACACACTTCCCCTGAATGTGCCTGCCCCTCACCAGTGCCCTGTCCTGGTGGTGGTTCCATCATCCACTGAGTCATCAAGCAAGATCCCCAACCCCCTGAGCCTGTCCACATCTCTCCACTCCACCCTCCCTTCTACTCTCTGCATCCTGGCCCCAGATCCTCTTCCCCCTGGACCTTCACCCACCTCCTCCCTGCACTCCTAGCTTCCTGTCTATCCTCCACACGGGCTCAGAACTGCCCCTCGCCTGCTCACAGTCCTTCTGTGGCTCCCAATCCCTCATAGTAAACAACAAGCCCTGGACACCTGGCAGGCAGGTCTGGCACCCCCCCCAAGTGTTGCCAGCCTCTCCCTAAACATGGGCTCAGCCCCTGGTGCCAGCTCCATGCACACCCCTTCCTCTCCTCATCTCCTGGGACCCTCTTGGCTCTACTGTTCAGCCCTTTAGGACCTCCACCACCTCCCTAAGCCCAACCCTCAGTTCTGCCCCCAAACCCTGTGCTCTGCCTGCGGCATCTCTCCCCAGCCCCTCCTCCCCACCCTAGGGCTCTTCTCAATGAAGGCCTGGTCTCCCTCACCTGAACCACTGCCCCCCACACCCCCGACAATCTGTCCCGCCAGGCCCTCTTCTCTCACTGGCTTGTCTCTCTTTGGAGTCCCTCTCCATCACTACAGCCCCTCCTTACCTGTGGCCTGGGCCACCGCCTTTAGAAGGACACCATCCCCAACGCCAAGCTCCAGGCCCTGCTGGGGAGGCCCGAGGCAGTTAAGGCTGAGATAGAGGATGGGGAGGAGGTCTGGAGGTGACAGGGCCACCACGGAGCGAAGCAAGTTGCTCAGTGTCTCCACCATCCTGAGCCTAGAGAAGGAGAGCAACTGCTAGGCAAGGGATAGAGCCAAAGGGTATCTGCCCCCTGCCCCGGCCAGGCCAGCCCGGTTAATTACCGAGCAGAAACCTCCTCGATCTTCTCAAAGGTCCGCGCCACAGCCAGATAAGGGACCCTGGGGAAGGAAAGAAGACACAGTAGTATATACAACCCACATCTTCCTCCACCCACCTGCCTGCCCACACCTCCCTGGGGACAGCCTTGCTAACACCCAAGTGCATGCCCACCCATAATCCCACTTGCTCCCCAGGGTTTTCTCTGTCCCCTTCAATGCAGCCAATTGTGTCCCCAAAACAGAGAGTAGACACTTGACAGTGTCCTCCAACTGATCCTCCATGAGGGCTCCCACAGTGACAGGGACTGGAGTGAGGCAGTGCAAGGGGTGGGGGGAGGGAGTCTCACTTCTGGCCCTGTGTCCAGCATGCGTCCTGGAGGGGATGGTAGTTTTTCTTGGCAGGATTGTAGCTGGATGGGTCCAGGGGGCTGCAGAGGCGAAAGGGAGATTAGGTTGGGTAAGTAGCTGGGTTGAAGAGCAGCCATTCCTCCAACTAACATTTACTGAGCACCTACTGTGAGCCAGGCACTGTTCTAGGCACAAAAGTAAAATAAAGTTTGCTAACCTGGAGCTCATATCCGAGTGCAAGAGTCTGTGGGAGAAAAACACATAAGTAATTTTTAAAAAGTATTTCAGATATTAAAAAAATATTTCAGAAAACAAAATAAAGCCAAGTAGATGGAGAAAACAGGCTGGTAGATGCTACTTCAAAGGTTGGTTGGGGAGGCCTGAGCAGAGACATCTGGGCAGAATGATGTGAGGAGTGAGCAGAGTGTGTATCAGGAAAAAGAGCATTCCAGGCAGGGGGAACAGCAAGTGCTGAGGTGGAGGCACGCGCGACATGTTTGAGGAACAGAAAAGGGGTCAACGTGGTTATAGTGGAGCTGTAGGACCTGAATGTTTCTTAAGAGTCCACTCTCAGAGGCCTCTCAACCATCCCCTCCCTCACTCATTCTGGGTGGACACCATGAGAAGGATGAGGTCACTGGGTGCCACAAAGTGCCAGGCACTGTGCTAAGAGCACTGCAAATGTTAAAATCAGCCCTGCAGATAGGGATTCTTCTAAGTTTTCCAGATCAGGAAACAAGCACAGAGTGGTTAAGCAGCCCCCCTCCCATCACACAGCTAGGAAGCAGCAGGGCTTCCAGAGACTGCTCTAAACCTCTACATCATGCCTCATGCTGACCGTCAGAGCCACCACAGCCCAGACGGCAATCACACCCATCTGGGTTCAAATCCTTGCTGCTCACTGCCTGATTCCTTTCAATCCACTGTCCTGTCTACTCAACAGCAGACACTGACTCACCCTTTGGGCATCTCCTTGCTTGGGGTGCCAGACCCTTCTTCTTTCACTTCTTTTTTGATTGCAGGCTTCCGAGGGGCTGGGAAAGAAGCCAGAAAATCATGGGTCCTTCTTCTGACAGCCCCCACCCCACCCCACTCCCCTCCCAGCACTGCCCCAATGCTCAGGAGATGGTGACCGGCCAGGAAAGATGAATTAATGAGACTTTCTAACTCATAGCAATGCCAATGGATTTGCAGCTCTCTCTGCAGAAAGACCCACTCGCCTCCTCCCTGTACCACCCAGGGGAGGGGAGGTGGGAGAAGAAACTCACTGAAGAAACTGCTCAGCGTCCTGGGAATTCTAGGGGAAGGCTCAGCTTGGCCCTCGTCCTGGGGCTCCTGCTTCACCTGCTTAGGCTCGGGACCACTTTCTGTCAGGGGCTCTGCTCCTAAATCGAGAGGTCAGACGATGACGATGCAAACTGTTTGGCCCTGAGCCTTTTTATTTTTAACCCCAAGGCCATTCTGTCCCTATACCAGGAAAATCTAACCAGTTCTGTTCTTTCCTTCTTCCCAGCATAAGTTTTGAGCCTGATGTTTTTTGGTCAGTGACTCCTAGAATTTTAGCATCTGGCCTGAAACTGGAGACTTATGGAAAGGGGTGAAACCTCAGCCCGATGAGAAGAAAATGCCCCCACTTCTGCAGCTGCAGAAAAGCAGGTACCACTCTGCATCCTAAAAACAGCCCCAGGGTGTTCTCACACAGGAGTCTCACCAACAGCAGGGCTTGTTCTATGGCTTGTGAGGGTACAGGTAACCTCTAAATCCTGCAACTCAGCCTGGCGGGCCAACTTACAAAAGTACTGCTCAATTAATTACACTTAGTACCTATGATTTCTGAATGATATATTTTGTTGGAGGATAACTGGCTCCTTTTTTTTGTCGCATGCATGTGGAAAAATAGTAACAATAATAAAACCTAGAATTCCCCCAGAATTCACATTTAAACAGCACATTTGAGAATCTACATCTCATTTATATGAACTGTCTTCCAAAGACATCTGACCCCAAAACCAGAGATGGGGCTGCAGGGGAAGAGGATCTGAAACTCACTGCAGGCATTTTGGGGCTCAGGGGGCGTCGTGGGTGGGTCCCCCTCTTCTGCTTCCTCCTCTTTGACCCCTTCCAGTTCTGGGAGGCTTTCTGTCGGGGTCTCTGCTTCTGATGATACACAGGAAAGTGAGATGGCAAAAAATCACCTTGATCCCCAAGACAGTTCAACTCCCATTTCAACTCTCTGCCCCATTTATTCTTTCTTGAGCCAAGCAAGTATGTCTGTAAAAGTGACAGGAAGTGGGGCCTCCAGGGGAACCCAACCCCAGTGTTCACTTGTGCAGTGAGCAAGGCCAGTCTTTTCTTATAAACTATTATTTTAAAATTAGTCACCACAGAATAAGAGTTGCATATGACAGATTATAAATTATAATAAAAATTTTTTTAACTGACTGGGAAAAAAATCATACCTCCAGGGTAACAATAAAACTTGCATAAACTAGTAACTTAGGAAAAAAAATTTTTTTTTTTTTTAAATATGTCTTTAATTATTTCAGAGAGGGGAAGGGAAAGAGATAGAAACATCAATGATGAGATAGTCGTCATTGATCGGCTGCCTCCAGCACGCAGGCATGTGTCCTGAGCGGGAATCAAACCAGGATCTCCTGGATCCTAAGCCGATGCTCAACCGCTGAGCTATGCTCAGCCGGGCAAATTTCTTTTTTTTATTTACTGATTTCAGAGAGAGGAAGGAGGAGTGGGAAGAGAGAGAAAAACGTGGACTTGTTGTTCCACATATTTATACATTCATTTGTTGAGTCTTTTATATGTCCTAACTGGGGATCGAACCCACAACCTTGGCATATTGAGATGACTTTCTAACCAACTGAGCTATGTGGCCAGGGTCAGGAAAAAATTTTCTCAGTAGAAACAAGCCACCCACCCCCAAACCCCCAGACACTGACAATTTATAGTAAAATTTGTTATTAAGAACTGCCAACAGGAAATGAAATCTTGACTATATTCAAATGTCCCCTGGGAAAGATGAGCCTAATAAGGACCTTTGATTAAACAAACAAACCGACAGTGGCAAAGGCAGCAGTTATAATCTCAGGCCCCAAATGATCGATGGATCAGACCTTTATGGCTGCGCCTCCCACGTGTCACCCAGATGCAGGGAACTCACAGGGACACAGCAGGATATCTGACACTTTCAAAGGAAACTGGTGGCATGTGCTTGACACTGTATGATCCACTACGTCGAGGTATTTTCGTTTTCAGTTATCAGGTTCCATTCCTTGCAGTTTCTGATGTTATATTTCTAACAAAGCTGGGTTTTTCACTGGTTGCTGTGATAAAAATCCATTACTGCACAAAAACCAGCAGGAGGAAACAGGAAACAAGGGTGGCAGTTTGCAACTAGACTCCAGTCTGAGAAATGGTGCAGAGCCCAGGAGATATCCTATTTATTAGTAAATCATTGTGACTATTTAAGAATAAAATAGAAATATTAATTTTCCTTTCAATGTACCTGTAGTATTATTTCCCTCAAGTGCCCAAGCTCCTAGAAAATAAACAGTGGTTTGGCCATCACCACTTAAGAAACGTACTGGGACAGTACTGGTCCAGGGGCACCGTGAAAAAATAACTGAGACACTGAGGGCACCGTGAAAGTGTGAGAGACTCTGCTTCCTAGTAAAATTTACATGGAAAAAGAAATCATTTAGAGGAACATATTTCCAAAAAGCAAAGATAAAAAATGGGAAACTGCATTTGAAAATTAAATTGACACAGCCGAATCAATGTATTCCAAATTGCTCTCCTAATAAAATACCTGTGCTTGCGTGTGGGGTTCTGACAGTCGTATTTATTTATTTAATCCTCACCGAGGATATTTTTCCTGCTTTACAGAGAGAGTGGAAAAGAGAGAGAGGGAGAGAGCGAGCGAGCGAGAGAAACATCAATGTGAGAGAGACACACTGATTGGTTGCCTCCTGCATGAGCTCCAACCAGACTGGGCCAGGGGTCGAGCCTGCAACGGAGGTATGTGCCATGGAATCCAACCCAGGGCCCTTCAGTCCTCAGGCCGACGCTCTAACCACTGAGCAAAACTGGTGAGGGTGACAGTCGTACTTAGATTCATGGACCAAATCAGTGGGGTCCTAACACCTTGTCCTCAGACTGGCCCCACCCTTCCTGATGCCCCCCCATGTGCACACATCTCCTCCTCCTGGTGCCTCACCTTCCTCCTTCTTCCTCTTGGGTGCTCGGTGCTCGGCCACGACATCCTGAGACGTCCGTTTAGAAACCTGCTTCCGAGCTGGGAAGGCAAAGGTCGAGGCATGGCTGACTCACTGGCCAGTCTGCCCCCTGCCCCAGTGAGCTCAGCACCCCCCCACATCTCCTCAGGATGGGGCCCCCAAAAGGCTCTGGGTCCCCTCCCTTCTCCTGCCTAGTTACACCCTGGTGCAGGCCTCATCCTTCAAGCTCACACTGCCTCCCGGCTGTGTGACCATGAGCAGGTTAATCTGTGTCTCACTCTCCCATATCTGCAGAATGGAAACAATCCCAAAAAGCAAGCAATGATGTAACAGACTCAGCCCAGTTCCCGACTATAGCAGGCGCTCTCCGTTCCCCACATGCATCCCTAGGACCTGACCATCTCCGTGTGTCCTGAACACATTTCCCAGAATGTCAGACGCCCAGACTCAGCAGGGAATCAACAGGCCCTGGGAGTTACCCTTACCCAGCTCCTCGAACTTCCCGTAGATCATTCTGAACACACACTTAGGCCGATTCCCAGAGCCTCCCCAGAGAATGAAGCTCCAGCTGCCCACTGTGGTAGCCGACCTAAGATCACACCTTTTATTGGCTGACTCCCCTTCCCTGAATTGCTGTCTGTCTTCTCTGCACCTCCCACCTCCCCAAGAACCCAGGCCTTCCAGCTCACAGCCCTCAGAACAAAGCCAGGGCTGGGCTCCTCAGTCTCATGTGCAAGGCCCTCCAGGAGCCAACCCCACCTCCTCCCTAACTCATCTCTCTCCACACGTCCTCAGACTCTCCCTGCTCTCCAAACTGCACTGTATTCTCCAGAAACACTGAAGTGCACCAACTCCCAAAACACGCCACGCTGTTCTCGTGGACCCTGAACATGCCGCTCGTGGCTGCAACACTTCCTGTTGCCCTTTCTCACCACAGTGAACCCTAACCCATCGCCCTGGTCCCGCCTCTGGGCTGGCTCAGTTCTACGCTCCCACAGCACCCTTGTTACCACTATCATTCCTTATACCACACCAGCCAATGGAAACACATGGCGAGCCACACACATCATCTTAAATTTTCTAATATTACATTGAAAAGAGGGAAAAAAACAGGTGAATTAGTCATGTGTCCGAAGTCACACAGCCAGTGGAAGGTGGAGCTGTGCTCTTAACCACAACGCTAAGCTCAGAGCTGTCGTGGCGATGGCCACCTGGTGCCGAAATCCAAGTGAAAACAAGAACAGGCAACTGAGAGGGCAGGGCCCGTGTGTCCTTACCTGTGCGACGCTTCGGGATCCCTGACGGGGAAATGTGCACTGGAGAAGTGTTGGAGAGGGAAGGGCTGGTCTCAGGAAATGTGACAGGACCGGGAGGGGAGCCCTGTAGAGAGTCGGGGGCAGGCTTTTGGAAGGGGAAAGAAAGAGCAGTTATAGGGTGATGGGAAGGGAAGGGAACACCTAGCTATCTCATTTCCCAAGCAGCTGAGAGCAGAGAGGGACCCTGGACTTCTCTGTGCCTCCTCTCTTCTCCAAACCCCTGGTCCCAGCCCCAGCTAAGGCCGTGTCCTCTCTCACCGGGGCCATCATTCCACCCTCCTGTGTACTTCATGGTCCCAGAATCTCCCCATCATGGACACCAATAACAACTCTCTTTTTCCTAAAGTAACAGAATCCTTGATTATTAGCTAGGCATATGTGGCCCAACTAAAAACTACACTTCCCAGCCTCCCTTGCAGCTAGAGTGGACGTGCCCCTCAGTTCCATACAATGCAATGTAAGGGGAAATAATGTACACTTCCCTTGGTTCCAACAGCATTCACGAAATGGAAAGTGGAATGCCCTCTTCCTTCAAATGTGGATATTCTCTTGGACAAGAGCATCTCTGATACTGAGATTGCCACACTAATTCGGGACTTTTGTGCTCATTAGAGAGATAGATCCCTACCTTGCTTAAGCCACTGTTATTTGTGTCTTGGTTTCAACTACTAACATCTTCTTACAAGGCCCTGTGCCAGTTTTTAAGCGACTGACCCTTAGCTCCCATCCACTCTCCCTTGTAATGCTGGGGCTCTGTGCTGGGCAATGTCAGCACAGGCTGCTAGAGGGGACTGTGTGAGCTGAATCAAACTTCCAGTTATTTCAAACACTTGCAGGGCCTGCTACCTGGTGCCCCAGAGACACCAGCAGCCTCTACCCAGAGGCGATGACTTAAGAGCTCTCTTTCTACCCCGTTAATAACTGCAGGTCTCACTGACAATTCTTTATATTAAACTCTCTCCAAATCACTCATGTGGTTTCTGTCTCCCATTTAGACCCTGATGGATAACAGGTCCCGAAGGGATGTCTCAAATGCTGCCCAGAAGCCAAAGCTACCTCTGTCCCTCTCCTGCTCAAAACCCTTCCAGGGCTCCCAGGCAGCCTCTGGGGCAAGTCTAAGCTCCTAAAGACATCCCTGTCCTAATCTACAGATCTGTGTTCGGTGACACAGTAAAGGGCAATCCGGGTCTGAGGGGGAATTAAGGTTACTAACCAGCTGCCCTTGGAGAGGGAGATGATCCTGGATTATCCAGTGGGCCCCATTCAATCACAGGGGCCAAAAAGTGAGAGGGGGAGGCAGGAGAGACATTACAGAAAGAGACAGAGTTGCTATCTTTGCAAACGGAGAAAAAGTGTCCTTTAGAAGCTGGAAGAGGCAGGGGAATCGCTTTTCCCCCGGAGTCCCAGAAACATGGCCCTGCCCACACCTTGATTTTAGCTGTGAGACCCGTGTCAGGCTCCTGACCTCCAGAACTGTGACATGATACATTTATGTGATTTTAAACCCCTAAGTCTGTGGCAAATAGTCATGGCAACAAATGGGGGGAAAAAACAAGTAACCAGGGGAGGTTTTGTTGAGGTGACATTTGATTGAAGCCCTGAAGGGAGGGATCGATTGGGCCAGGTGTGTAACCTGGGAGAGAGGTTTAGGCAGGGAAAACAGCATGTGTGAGACACTGGGCAGCGCAGGCTGAGGAAGAGCTGGGGGTGAGGAGGAAGAGAGGGCTCACCAAGGGACTCAGTTCCACAAGGACCAGATTTGGCCTGAGCTGCCAACAGTGAGGGTTCGAGCAGGGTAGAGACAGGATCTGACTTCGCCACTGAAAGACTAAACACTCTGGACATCATTCACAGAGCAAGGAATAGGCACAAAATGACTCTTAAACAAGAGGAAATGAGCCAACACGTGGAGCAGGTGGCAGGCTGTCTGACAACAGGAGACTGCACGCATCAGGCATTACTCTTTTGTATCAGGCACCATTCTCAGATCTGTATGTGAACTGACACCTATCATCTTCACAGCCACCCTGTGAGGCAGGTGCCACTGCCAGCTGCATGTCACAGGTGAGGTGGCTGAGGCATACCAAGGCCAGGGAGCCTGCCCCAGGTCCCAGGCCTGAGGTGGAGATAGGACCACGTGGACCTGCCAACTGCTCCAGGGCACAACCACGAAACCCTTCCACCTCTTGGGGCACGTCTCCAGGGTGCCCGAGCAGCTGCGGCACTCAGTTCCAGAGGCTGATGGGAATTAGGGTGTCTTCCCATAAGAACAGGCAGGCTGATGGGAGCCTACCTGGCTTTTGGGGGGCGTGGCGGCTTCATCCTCCTCCTCCCCTTCGCTGCCCAGGACCCGAGCCGCCCTCCTCCCCGGCCTCTTCACCGGAGAGTCCCTCTCAGGCACCACTCCATTCCGCTCCTTCAGCGCCACCCTGGAAGGCGGGAAATGGGAATGTCCTAGCTGGCAGTGCTCTCTGGCCAAACACTCCAGCTCCTTCACTGCTTTATCTCCTCCCTTTCCTTTCAAGCATCAGTGAACATTTTCTAGGGGCCTCCTAAGCACATACTCTTACCCATCCATCCATCACGGATCCCTGGAGGCCTCCTATGTGACCACCCTGTGATGGGAGATGCTGAGAGCAAGCGGAGTGGCCTACTTAGGACAGAGACTGGCCTCCAACATCCATTTGGAAATCCTTTCTCTTTCCGTCATACAAGCCTGAGTTGTAGGAAGGTACATAGCCACTCGAGTAAGAACTACACTTCCCAGCCTCCCCTGGGCTAGGTATGGTCATGTAATGAGTTCTGACCAAATGAATGTAAGTGACCTTGACTGACAAGCAACATGCTTTGACTGTTTGCCCTTGCATTGTCTTAGCCCTCGAACATGGACTTGATCTGCTTTGACAATGCTCCTGAGGGCATGGCTTGGGACGGGGG